TTATGTGTCCATTAGCAATCAGTAAATATTAACTATTCGAATTAAGACTGCTGTCTAAGTTCCTATTTTATTCCTAAGTATTTTCTGGTTTTGGCACTGGGTTATTGTTTGGTTTCATATCATAGAAATGTCAAAAGATCAAAATAAAATAGATAAGCTGGCATTTTCTATGCCAGTCAATTGCTTTAAAATGGGCTATTTCTAGAAGCAGTGAGTTTTCAGAATTCCACATAATTCTGCCTCTTGATTCAAATAGAAGTGGGCGCAATATTCAGTAAGGTGTCCCTGTGAAGCCCTGGCTACTTAGCACTAATGTGTCTTGTAAAGTCGGAAATAAAAAATTAAAGAACTGCCTTCAGTTCTGCAACCTTCCTGTTCTACTCTAACCCTTATGACTGAAGGCTAATTTATTTTATTGTTTATTTTAGGAAAGGACTATGACTCCTGGCTCAAAACGGAAAGGGATCCGTACTTTCGTGTTTTTTTTTTTTTTTAATCCGACGCACAGGCGCGTCTTGCATCTATTTGAACTCTTAATTCCTTTTAAGGCAGTTCTGCCTGGCCACGTCCCTTTAACATCCACCGGCCGATTTCTCGGACGAAGGAAATCTTTTGAAACGTAGCCCAGGACGTCCCCGTGCGGGACAGGGTTTGTGTTGGTTTCGCCCGTCCGTAACCGCTTCGTTCCGTAGTCTTGCAAATCGGCAGGCTCATCCTGCTTCCCGCGGGTGCCTTAATTGCGTGGGCCAGGAGCCTCGACAGCTGCCAAGCAAGGAAGAAAGTGAATTAAGCCTTATGATTTGATCCTAAACAGATGAATTCTCTCTCACAGCTTTCCCCCGTCTTCACTTTACAGGTCAATGCGAAGCTATCGGGTGGCTGAGTCGGTCCTGCCGCCCGCCGGCTTAGCGAAGAAGTCTTTACTGATATCGCTGCTGCTAGCTGACATCTTTGCTCGCTCGACCGACGCCGCCGTCGAACGGAGAAAAAGAGACTAACGCATGCGCAGCGAGCACCTCTGACACCGGTGATTCCATCCACCAAGTCCCTTCTCTATTATCCCCACGTCTCTTCTCTATTATTCCAGCTTGGTCTAAAGAAGGAAAAATAGAAAGTTCTATCCGTGCTGAGATTCTCACTGTCGGCTTTGTCTGGGAGATGCAGCCGCCTGGAAAGTTTGACTCTGTAATAGGGCAAGATTATTGATTATGGAGGTTTTTGCTCAATAATGTAGCTTATTTGTTTGCAGATGGTATGTGTGTATTTATGTTTCTTAAGCTGGATGGAGGTACACTTCAGTTGCAATCAAAGCAGATAAATTTATGATGTTGTGGCACTTTCATAAGTACTGACAAACCACTTATCATAACAGGAGTAAAAAAAAAGTGAATTGCATATTCTGTGGATAATAAGGCATATAAAATATATAGGAATAATAATTATAAAGGGCTGAACCATTGCAGAAATGCAGTTATGTATATTGATAAGCATCTTTTAATTCAAAATGGAATTAAACTGGCAATATCATTCAACATTACTGTTAGAAACAATAGTAATCAACTTCCAGAATGGTTATTTCCTTTTCAAATGCTGCTAAAAGTAATGCCAATTTACAGATTTATTAGAGCACAATAAATTATTGTCTTGTATGTCAAACTAGAATGAGGAAAGATGTCCAATATAAATACAAGAAAAGGTAGGTCTATGAATATGAACTATGAGCTTGTATTTGGATACAGTTCCACTGAGACAAGTCAGATGAGAATTTCTAAAAATGGTAAGAAATTAATAAATGAAGTCAATCCTAACATATTTAAAATTGTCCTTTGAAGTTTTGATAGGATAGAGACAATATACAATCTGATTCCTATTTCTTGAATTTAGTATTATTTAATTAAGTATGAAGAGAAATGTCTATGGAGAGTTTCAGTCATCCAGGTCATGGTTGTCCCAAAGGTGCTTTTTCAAGAGCAACCGGACTTTCTGGTTTTTCTTTGAAGACGTTTCCCTTCTCATCCAAGAAGTTTTTTCAGCTCTGACTGGATTCCATTCTCCACCATCCAGAGTTGAAGAAGCTTCTTGGATGATCCTGTGAAACATCTTTAAAGAAAAAGCATGAACTCCAGGTGCCTTGAAAAAGCATCTTTGGGATATGAAGAGGAATCTGCTCAACTCAAGGAATGGAAAGACAGAGGATTTTATTGAGTTAGTGACCTAATTATAAAGAATCAACCTGTCACCACTGAATATATGCAGGATGAAAACAAGCCCTAAACTGGTTCCAAATAAAGGGGGAAGTATTCTTTCCTAATATAGGACATACAAGTTAAGTTCATTGGAAGTATTTGAGAAGCAGTAAATAGTAAAGGGTTTACTATTTAAACAGTAAATGAATCTTGCTTTTTAATATTTTTTAAAAATCTAGTGCATGTTTGGGAAGATGATTTAGATTTTGAACTTGATGAAATGCAGTGAAACTTTTGTGATATAATTTATTTTAATTCCATTTCAATATATTGACACAATTGTAAGCCAATTCTTCAGTGACATTATGTAGCATTAAAATTACATTACATTAATCACAATATTATTAGACTATTGACAAGATTGTGAATAAATTGACATGCATTTCCAACTTCTGTAGTGATAACCAGTTGGGTAAAGCTTTTGATCAAAAGGTTTTCATGTAGCTGAGAAAATTGCATGCCACATCCATTTTATAAAAAATAATGCAGTACAGTAACATTGTTTTCTTCATTTGATACAGCAGGGAAAAAGTTTCTTAAATAATTAATTCAATCTACTGTTAGTAGCCAGATGTGTAATGTGCAAGCACAGTTGCTCTTAGATTAATGGTATTGTAAAATGTGGGAAATCCCCCATAGGTTAAAAATATTTGGCTTTTATTTATTAATTATACTGTATTGATAGTGTTTCCTGACAGGGTGTACTGTTAGGACAGAAACTTGTTATTTTAGAAAACATATTAAATATTGATGTAATCTTATTTTCCTTATTCTATTTTTTTCTTTAGTAATGCCCTGTCAAACTATAAGATATAGCTAACTTTTTCATTCCCTGTTTGAATTTTGTTTGTATTCAGTTTAGCTGGATTTTTTTCTAGAAAATGTTTTCTAATTCATGACTAGATATTGCAGTTGCTTCATAAAAATTAATCTATCAACCACCTGTCTTCCATAAAGAAAATGTTAAGATCAAACAAGTCTTAGTATTTGGGTGAAAGACTACCAGAAAACCCAAAGGCTGAAAGCTAGGCTGAAAAGTCAGAAAATATCACAAAAGCAATATGACCAAACTTGAGTACAAGCTTGGAGTTAAGCCTCTGTAGTGGCAGCAATAGCTCTGAGGTGTCAATACTTCTCCAAGCTAATCACATCCAGATTGTCATCTAGCAAACTATTTAAGTCAAATCTTTGTTTGGGAAAGTTGGGGCAGAAGATCAATTACAAATCCACACTTATTTATTTGCAAGGCATCTAGAGGATAAATTCATTTACAGTTGGTCAGAGTTGGATGGGGGTTCAGTAAATCCTTGTGAGATTATCTGGAAACAGTTTGAATCTATTGAGCCATGGTGGCACAATGGTTAGAGTGCAGTACTGCAGGCTACTTCTGCTGACTGCCAGCTGCTGGCTGCCTGCAATTTGGCAATTCAAATTTTACCTCAAGGTTGACTCAGCCTTCCATCCTTCCAAGGTGGGGGTGAGGACCCAAATTGTTGAGGGCAATATGCTGACTCTGTAAATCACTTAGAGAGAGCTGCATTGTAAAGCAGTATATAAGTCTAAGTATTATTGCAGTTGCTATTAATCCTGAGGAAATAAACACAAGGCTGGGACTTCAGTTGTACCATCTGTGGATTGCATCTCTGTTTTTTCTGGTTGGTAAATTACAGTGGTATTGAAGAAAAAAATCCAAAACATAGGCAAGGATTAATGACACAAATAAACATTTATAAGAGGATAATACAAAACATTTGTGAATGAAATAAAGGTAATGGAAATGTTTGGGTTCTTGAAAATAATGAAAAGCTCAGCAAGTAACATACTGGGTGCCCTTGACTAATCTTAAGGTGACCAACTTTTTTACAATGAAAAGGAGGACACAAATAAATTGGGGAAAAAAACAAAGCCACTTGCGCGTGGCGCACACTTGCGCATGGTGCACTCTTGCACACAGCGTACCCTTGTGCGTGGCACACTCTCTCAAAACAATTCTCCTGTGTGGAGCGCATGCATCTCATAATCGCGTCTTGTCGCACTGTACCGAGCCTTGACGAATCACCATGTCAAATACAAATACATCACATCGCACACAACGGATTGGATCGGCATCGATCAAATACGGAGATTTACAGATTAGTCTTCGAATATCAAAAAGGAAGACATGTAGGACACTTTTTGAGAGAGGACAGAACTTACAAAAGGAGGACTGTCCTCCCTAAAGGAGGATGGTTGGTCACCTTACTAAACAGCTCAGATGTGGTTAAAACTTAGATCTGAGAGTTAGGAAAAACCAGGGTTGAAAGACAGAGAAGTTAAAAAATGAATAGATGGCAAAGGTGAAACAATTCTGCATGGTTATAAAAAACCAAACCAAACCCAGTAACACTAATATATTCATGTAGTGATCAGTTTGACTTGAGGGAGGTTGATTTTTTTTAAAATGGAGCAAACCTTCCATTTTAGGATTAAGTTTAATGTAGCAATCACATTGGTTTGATATTTGATATTGAGATAAAATGAAATGAATTATCGTATTCAGTGAGTATGTGTTTATCTGGCAGATGCCATCATTTAGAATAAAGATCTATGATAAAGCGATAGCGCGCGTAACGTCCAATTTCACTGATAAGCAAAAAGGGCCCCGTGGGCTAATTTATGATTTCCGTAAGCGGAACTTGTCTGCCGCGGAACGGGACAACTAGCAAGCGGCGAGCCGCCGGACGGAGAGAGAAAGAGCACAGAACAGGGAGTGAGGTCGCCGCTCGTATGGGTGCTGCTGTTTTTGCAGACTCCTTCCTGCTGCTAAAGCTGTTCCTGTTCCTGTTCCTGGAAGGTGGGGGTAGGGGAAAGAAGAAGAAGAAGAAAAAGAGAAGGAAGAAAAGAAGGGTTTGCCCTGGCTACCGGCAAGCAGGAAAGAAAAAGCGTTCCCACCTTGACCCCTCTACATGGCCGGGAATTTCTGGCAGAGTTCGCATTAGTGAGTTGTCCTTGCAGTCTGGGGGTTCTGGGGAGTAAGGAAAAGGTGGTGCGGAATGCAGGCGCGCGGGGCCGGGCAGTTGCGAGGAGAGTAAGAGGCTTTCTCGGTCTTTTCTTTGTAGGAAGGTGTTTTCTCAGTGCAGACGGTGAGATGGATTTCAGTGTAGTGGGATGTTGTTGTATGCCTGGGAGAGAGATGCCTGTGCAGATTGAGCTTTCAATTCATTTATTTGTGTGTATGTGTGTGTGTATGTGTAGAGAACGTTCAGTGTGAATAAAGTATGTTTAAGCTGGGGGGGGGGGAAACTTCAACTTTTCTTTATAATGCATGGTCACACGTCCAGTTTTTTTTTGTTAGAATCGATAAAAAAAATAAAAGATAAAAAGTCTTGTTGAAAATAACCCATGTTCTAAACATAATGCATGTGCACACACGTGCACACACACACATATATGCAGCTTATACACATATTTTGTGTGTGTGTGTATGCATTATGTTTAGAACATGGGTTATTTCCAACAAGATTATTTTTATCTTTTTATCAAAAAAAACCAAACCTGGACATGTTTTTTTTTAACAAAAAAAACCAAACCTGGACATGTGTGACCGTGCATGTATAAAGAAAAGTTGAAGTTTTTTCGCCCCAGCTTGAACATGCTTTATTCATATTTATTGAACGTTCTGTGGTACTTACAAAGCAACAGCTCCTTATAAGTGCAAGTACTTTGACAAAGTAAAAATATATACTCCAAGCTGCATTAGTACAGGTTTGCTGTAGAACTTCCACTCCCCATCCCAAAGGTTTTTTGTTACTAGAAATATTGATTTTCCCTTCAATGTAGCAGTGTGGTTCAGATAATCACACCTCTTTGCTTTTCGATACTATATTTTATCTTTTTTTGTTCTTATTATAACCTTTGTACAAAAACGAAGATTTACTTGTTAAACTCTTATAGCAGCAGATAAAACGAAAAACAAGTATTCTGATAACCCTGGGTTTATCATGAGGAAAGTACTGGCATGTGTATGCTTCTTTCCAAAATAGCTTAGCCTTATTTAAATACTTTCACACAGATGAATATTGTTCTAATTCACATACATAATACATTATGTTAAGGTGACTAAATTGCAATATTGTACTATGAAAGGGAAAAATGTCATGAATGGCAAAAATGTAATCACATTGAATAATATGATTCTAGTTCAAATATTTGCTGCAATGTTATTTCTGAGTAACATAATTCGGAATCTTGTCATGGGGGAAAATCTTTAATGATATTTGCTATAATGGTAAGATTCTCCTTTTTTTTGCTGCTTGAGTATAATTTGCAACCACTATTTCTAAAGAAACCAAGATTCATGGAGAACATTTGAAAGTGTTCTATTTAAATATAACTTAAATATGTGATTTAAATGCTGGGTTTTAATCAGAAATCAGACTTTTCTGTACTAGACAGACAAATGTACCTGGGATGAATAATGCCTACAAAATATACAGCCATATAACTCGAAATCATAGTATTACAAAAATGTTATTGGTAAAAGAGTTAGAGATAGAAAGTGGGGTTTATACAACATTTGTATGCAATTTGTCTGTGGAGATGGGTAGTCAAGAAATATGAAATATAAACAAAATAAATTAGAAGTTAGAACTATCTAAAATTCCTTACGCAACTTAAAATAAATATTGTTATGTATTAGTCTTATATACTGCCTTTACTTCAAGAAGTCAAGACAATTGATATATGGTTTTCCTTTTGTTTTATCTGCACAACAACTATCTTGGATTGTTGTGAGTGAATTAGTATGCATGTATGCAAGTAGTTCAAAGTCATCGTCTGCTTGAGGGTAGGTCTGAACTCTACTTGGACATCTATTACATCATCCTAGTTTTCACATATATATTTAAATAAAATAACAAATTCTTAGAAAAGGGAAAATTATTAGAACAAATTCATTATTAACAAGAGATTGATTATAATCTTTGGATTATAAAAGGTCTCATATAAAATATTTTTTGTTTGAAATGATTGTCAAAGTCTGATGATAGTTTCTTATTTGCCAGAATTTTGTTCCTGGCCTGGTACTGAGCTTTCAAATTCTGGTAATAGTAAACATTGGAGAAATATAAGCAGCATTAGAAAAAATAATAATTCTGAATACTTTTGACTCAGGAGAATACGTATCTTTGACATCAAGTCATATAATAAAGGATAAAAAAATGTTTTCTTTCTTTCTAGATCTCATCTGTTCAAATATCTAAAAGTAGTCTCTCTTTCTCTGTAGCTTACAATGGATTTTGGATAAACAAGATCTGCTGAAGGAACGCCAAAAAGACTTAAAATTTTTAACAGAAGAAGAATATTGGAAACTACAGATATTTTTTACAAATGGTAACAATGATGTCAATAAGTTATTGATATATTCTCTCTCTGTGTGTCTGTGAGACAGAGAGGGGTGTATGAGTGAGATTGTCTTTATTTTTTAAAATACAATGATTTAACATTGATTTTTAGAAGAAGCACATTTTTCCAGGCCCTTGAGCATGCTTCCATTGGACTCTTGCTTGGTTTAAATATAACATTGGTCCACTTTTTTCCCCCTAAAGTTAGACGTATATTTTCCTTTTGGAACATTACGATTCTAAACTATATGCAACCCCATTCATATATAGGCCTTTCCCCTTTTTTTGTGGAGAAGGCTTTAAGTTGCTTGTAATGGTGTTAATATTCTAAGTTTTTGGTATCATTTCTGAAAATGATGGGAAACCAAAATGGCAGTTGAGGAAATTTTTGGAAAAGCAAAATAAATTTCTAAAATGATGACTAATTTCAGTGGTTCTTTTGTATTGAAACTCAAGCATATCATTACTTTCTAGTCAGAGCCAATAGTAGCAAAGATCGATAAATACAATTTAACCTTGCATTTTAAGACAGTGCTTGGGTGTCTTTTAAACTTTATTCTAGGTCAGGGGTCTCCAACCTTGGCAACTATAAGTCCTTGTGGACTTCAACTCCCAGAATTCCTCAGCCAGCAAAGCTGTACTTTAAATAAAATTCCACTGATCATTTCAGATTTATCACAGTTTAAAAAAATTATTTAGGCAACCACCTTGTGTACAAAGGACTTGCTTGGCTGTCAACCTTTAAAATGAGCATTGATGTGTGAATTATCTTGGAAATGGCAGAAATATGATAAAACATTGCCATGTTCAAATTATGAATGGATAGTGGAGTCTGGAAAAATATCAAGTAACCATCTTATGTTTTGTTTTGTCACTCTGTGCCTCTACCTCTGCTTGGTATTTTGGATGGATGCTTCCAATATGCTTGGAACATATCCTTTGCTTGGAAAGCCAAATGAGCTACCTGTACAGCTGACACCATGGTGGCTTTCTAGCCAACTGGCAGATAGAGCTTGTGTGGAGCAGCTGATATATTTTTTCCTGATCTACCTTCCCCTGGCACCCTATTCCCTTTCCATAGATGAAATATGTCATACTTCAAGCACCTGCTGCCTTTGCCAACTCCATAACTGTGTTGATACTGGCAGCTTAATTCATTGGACCAATATCTCTTTTTCTGTATATGATAACTGATAACCAAAAGCTTGGCATTTCACACAGAGTGAAGTTCCTAAGTTTCTGGATAAGAGTACGTTGATAATTGCATGAAGTTACAGATAATATAATTTTTTTTCTTCACGTGTAAATTATACCTCAATATGCCTTGCATCTGTTTTGTCATTTTTGGAGAGGTTGAATAATGCATTACAAGAGCTGGAAATATCATCTGCCTGAATTTAAACAAACTCAGCTTAGTAGCCAATCATAGAAAATGCTAGCATTGTTCAATTTCATAGTTTACTATATAATATTTTAGGAATCAGATTTAATAATCCCAACTGTGCAGTCTCCTTTGAAGTGTTATTTCAATCAGAAATATTAAGCAGGCATTTAATGTTAGTTTTTCTAACTACAGTTTCAATGCTTTATGGTATCTATTGTGTCATAGTATCAGTTTGCAATCTTCACCTATAAAATAAAATATAAAATATATTATTTCATCTTTGGGGGATCTTATGAATGGGCTTTTAGAACCAAAATAAGTATAGGAACATAATGTAACAATGTTTCAAAAATATTTGCAACTCTGGGATTCAGTTTCAGTAATTGTTGCAGAATACAAAACTGAACTATGAATATTTAACTCATTTAAAAAATTTTTATTTTAAGTTATTCAGGCATTAGGTGAACATTTGAAACTAAGACAACAAGTTATTGCCACTGCTACTGTCTATTTCAAGAGATTCTATGCCAGGTAAGATCATGAGCTCTAGTATGGTCTCATTTTTCCTATATAAATCTTTTTTGTTATTATTACGTCTCTTTTTAAAAGTGTTAGGATTAGTAATTTTCCCTTTTCTTCTGTTTAAAATTATGTATTATAACTTTTTAGGTATTCCCTAAAAAGTATTGATCCAGTGCTAATGGCTCCCACGTGTGTATTTTTGGCATCCAAAGTAGAGGTAAGTAGGTAGCTTGCTACATGAGGAACTTTGCACAGGGTGAAGAGAGCAGGTGATTTGCTGACTTTTATTTTTCCATGTTCTTTTGAAATAAATAAAGCCAATTATTAGTAATTCATTAGTAATACAATGAATTGATATAATGAATGAGTAAATTAGTTTTTCTTCTCTTGGTCACACCATCAAATTTAGCAACTGCAATTCTTTCTAGCAGCTTTATTGTTGGACAAACTGAAATGGTCAATAAATGAACATGTAATTCATTCTCTCTCTCTCTCTCTCTCTCTCTCTCTCTCTCTCTCTCTCTCTCTCTCACACACACACACACACACACACACACACACTGCAGAGAGAGTCTGCAAATACGTGTCTTTTTTTTCTCCCTACTTTTTCATCCCTCACATGTTGGAGAAATTGCTTAAACTAGTTATCTCTTCCTAAAATATTTTTCTTCATAGTACAGCATGTCCCTTAAAATTCTAACTGCAAGTTAACAATCTCGGCTATCTGACCTTAATTCACACTGAAGGCTTTTGTTGTCATGAAATTTCACGGTCAGTCCATGCATTGGCTGGAAGTGAATTTTTATTACTGCTTATTACCATCATAATTTGTGAAGGTCACCAACCGGGGTAGTTACTAAATGAGGAGTGGCTGTATAAATAATTAGCACATTTAATATCCTGTTTCTGATAGGATTTTTCTGTTTGGCCTTCCCCGTCCCAGCCTCCACAGCATTTTGCTGGTCATATCAGCCAGTTGACGTTTTTTGACTCTTGATCCGTTGGGCTTTCAGTGCTTGCTTTGCAGGTGGTTTTCCTGCCTTTTGGCTATGGGGGATTAACATCACAGTGGCTTTCTGCCAACAGTATAGCAGCCATTGGAAATCGATGAAAAGAAAGAAAATGGCTTTCTTCTCACACAAGAAAAAAAAATGTTTATTGTAATATAATCCTTGAATCTGCAAAATACTGTGATTTTAACTAAACAATAAAGATGGCCAGAAAGGCGGAGCAGCTTTAAATCAGATCACATGGGGTATTGTGGAATTGGGCATAGTGAGGCTTGGACAAGGCTGCCAATCAGAACAAAATGTGCCCTTGCTTTCTTTTTTTCCCACAGATCAAGAGCATCCCCTGTAATTTCATATAGTAACCAAAGTTTGACATTTTGTTATCCAGTGCTTCTGGAATTGTGTACTTTCTACCATTATTTTATTTTTTATGATCTAGGAATTTGGTGTGGTTTCAAATACAAGATTGATATCTGCTGCTACTTCTGTATGTAAGTGGAATTTTTGTAAAGTTGTCACTTTTCAAAGGAATTTTAAAATCAAATATTGCTTTTAGTTATCGTATTCAGACATATGGAATGGCACATATGTATGGGTGTACATGAAAAACTAAAAAAACTGTTAAGCTTTATCTTATTGTAATGTATGATTCAATATGATAAAATGTAATGCAATACAGTGCTATTGGATAGTATTGTATTGGTGAGAGCCACTTGATGTAGTGGCTAAAGGCAACAGGCTAGAAACCAGGAGACCATAAGTTCATAAAACCAGCTAGGTGACTGTGCACCAGTCCCTCTCAGCCCTAGGAATAAGGCAGTGACAAGCAACTTCTGAAAAACCTTGCCAAAAAAACTGCAGGGACCTGCCCAAACAGTCTCCAAGAATTAGACATGATTGAATAGAAGAAGAAAAATTGTATGCTACAGTATTTAATTTTTCTAAACTAGTGAGTGCTTCTTTTCCATTTGATAATATTTGAAACTTGCAGAAACTGATAAACATTGTATAAACTGATTCCAGTATATATTCCAAAATGTTAAACAGAAATATTTGCTTTGTCACTATTTTGTATTGTAAATTCCTATAAATTGTTGCTGTCAGATATAAAAAATAAGTATGCTTAATAATTAACTCTTGTTCTCTTGCACTTTCAAACATAAATCCCTGCATTCAGCGTCTAGTATTCTAATTAAATTAAGGTGTAAAGAGAGAAGTATGGTAAATTAATTTGTATTGCTTTCATTTAAAAAGCATTCTTGACTTTTTCTTCATTGCAGTGAAAACTAGGTTTTCGTATGCCTTTCCAAAAGAATTTCCTTATAGGATGAACCATGTAAGTATACTCTAAAAAAACATTTCTGGCCTTAGCACTTCCCTTTCTCTGCAAATGATTTTGAAAAGACTTTTACTGTATGTGGAAGAGTGGGGATGTTGAGAACACATCAGAACATTGTTTCCAGAGAGTGACAGGGAGTTTATGCTTTGCTGTACTCCCAGCTGTTTTAAATTGTTTTAAAAAATAGAAAATTGAAGTTAAAAAAAAAGGGTCTTGCCATTTTGTCATCATCTGAAAGACTCTAGGAGTGAGGTTTGGAGAAGAGGAAAACCTAAACTAGATTACTATCCACTAACTTGCTCTATGTGGGGCTGCCCTTGAAGAGCGTTCAGAAACTTTCAACTGGTGCAAAATGCGGCTGCATGGGCAATAAATGGTGCCAGCTGCATGACACATGTAACACCACTACTCTATGAGCTTCACTGGATGCTGGTGTGTTTACGGGTGCAATTCAAGGTGCTGATTATCACCTTTGAAAACCTACATGGCTTGTGACTGGATTATCTGAGGGACCGTCTTTTTCCAAGAGTTTCTTACCCGTTCAGTCTGATCCAACAGACATGCTGCAAATCCTGTCAGCCAAAAAATGTTGACTGGCAAGAACAAAAAAGAGCCTTTTCTGCTGTACTTCCTTATGGAATATTCTCCCCTCAGATATTAGAATGGACCCAACCCTGTTAGGTTTTTTCAAAACTTTAAAAACTTGCTATGTACCCAGGCTTGGGGCTCAGAATATATAAAGAGCCCCATTACTTGGCTTTACTAATAGTTGATTAATCTTCATGGCTGCTGTTTATATTATTTATTTTGCAGATGTTTTTATTGTTTTAATGTTTTTTTAAATAGTTTTATAATTTTAGAATTGTAAAAGAGTCACTTAGCTGAGTTGGTGGCTATAGAAGCTGAATGAATTAATTTGATTGCAAAAAAGAAATATGTGATAAATCTGTTAACCTCTGTAAAAGAGGTATTGGTGGAGTAAAATGCATTTTCAAAAAGGAGTTTTATGTTTTCCTTTATTGAAATGGAAATGTCAGATGTTATTCTTGCTGACAAAAAAGTCTATATGTTTTTGTTCCCATGGTTTTCCAAATTTAGAATTTTAATAGTTTAGATCCAGCTGATCGTAGAACAGGACAATCTATGATGCACATATTATTTAAGTTTTGTCCTTGTAATTAATACATTTTTTTTGTTCTATACAGATATTAGAATGTGAATTTTATCTATTAGAGTTAATGGTAAGTTCATTTACTTTGTACATTCTGTTCAATCTTTTGTACAGGTAGTCACTGAATTATATCCATTCATTCAGTGACTGTTCAAAGTTATGGTGGCACTGAAAAAATGGACATATGACAGGGTCTTTGAAGTTCTGGTGACCATAGCACACACACACCCAATCACATTATTGTGATCCAGGCACTTAGATACCATGCGTGTAATTGTAATATTGCAGAGAGTTGGGGGTCATGTGATCACCATTTGCGACCTTCCCTGCTGGCTACCCCAAGCAAAGTTTATGAGGAAGCCAGCAGGGAAAATTGCAAGTTGCTCTCGCTTTTTCTCCCATCCTCAGCACACCCCTACCCATGTAGAGCCTCTGCTAGCCCTGCAAGGGCCTCCCCCAGCCGCCTGCAAATTGTGCATGGCCTATACAGGAATTTTGGGGTTACAATGGCAACTGGGACTGCTTGGGATTGTCATCACTGAACAGTGTAGCCACGTGATGTTACATTTTACCAACTGCATCACTTTGTGGCAGCAATCCCGGTCTCTCTTGCTGTTGTAACACAAATAGTACAAATACAACTCCTCTGCATAATTATATGCTGATTATATCTGGAATATTCCATCATCTCTTGAAATGTTGCTACTTTTCACATGTGTGCCAGAACAACTGAATTGATCTGTACTGTGAGAAAAGAATGATGAGATATAATGGGCTAGGAGAATAATCTTAGAGAAAGGATGAAGAGCTACAGATTGAGAAGGTTGTGTACTATTTCCTATTTTTTATGTGAATTCCATACATGGAGTTAGAAAGAACTGATGCCAGGTTTTTGAGCTGAGAAGTAATTTATAGATCTAAGATTGCATGAGAAAAAAGTGTCCAGTGTATCAACTGAAATAGCTGACTTAAGGGTCTATAAGCATACAGATTTGTTTATGAGAAAGTGTCCTGCTTTTCGTTTTAAATAGGAAAGCTCTTACAAAGGATACTCCACCATGAGAGGGATTTTGGAGTCCTAGTGGACAATCACTTAAATATGAGCCAGCAATGTACTGCAGCTGCAAAAAAGCCAACAGAATCCTAGGCTGCATTAACAGATGGATAGAATCAAGATCACGTGAATTGTTAGTACCCCTTTATAATGCCTTGATAAAACTATATTTGGAATATTTCATCCAGTTTTGGTTGCTACTATATCAAAAAAGATGTTGAGACTCTAGAAAGAGTGCAGAGAAGAGCAACAAAGATTATTAGGGGTTTAGAGGCTAAAACATATGAAGAATATGTTTTACTGAATATATTGCTGGAATTAAATATGGCTAGCTAGTATAATGAAAAGAAGGATTAGAGGTGACGTAACGGCAATGTTCCAATATCTAAGGGGCTGCCAGATAAAAGAGGGGATCAATTTATTCTCCAAAGCACTTAAAGGCAGGAGAAGAAATAATGGATGGAAACTAATCAGAGAAGCAACCTAGAACTAAGGAGAAATTTCCTGACAGGAGAATTAATCAGTGGAATAACTTGCCTTCCAGAAGTTATATATGGGTGTTCCAACACTGGAGGTTTTAAAGAACAGATTGAATAGCCATTTGTCTGAAACAGTATATTTGAACTGAAATTCCCTGCTAGAGCAGGGAGTTGGACTAGAAGTCCCTTCCAACTCTTCTTCTATTAATGTTACTCAAGCCAAACTTTATTTTTTACAAAATAAGTGAAACCACTAAAGATTGATACTGTTTCTTCCCCACTCAGATTCTCTTTATATATTAATAGGATTCTCACAAAGCTTCTTGTATATTGTTATTCCGTAATAGAGCGTACTGTGCCAGTGTTTATTTTCAGTGAGGGTGTTGTTGGCAAATTGTGTTTGTGTGTGCTGCATATATGTCAGCATTTGTGTCTCAGAGGGTGATAGAATTTGGTAAACTGCCAGTCAGTCTAGAGAGGAATTATTTATGTGAAGCCATCTACTGTCTTTGTAATAAATGGCACTATAAACATCAAAGAAGTACTTAACATTTTGTGTATTGTGAATGATGCTGCTGCTGCTTTTAACATTTTTCTTAAATGCAATCTCCCTAGGACTGCTGTTTGATAGTATATCATCCCTATAGACCTCTACTTCAATATGTACAAGATATGGGCCAAGAAGACATGCTGCTGCCTCTTGCTTGGTAATGAAGACAGACTATTTAAAAAGTCCTTTAGCCTAAACAGAAAACCTATGAAAAGTATTGACCTGAATAAAATTGTTGCCTAGGGAATCTGCTTAATCCACTTTGGAAAATGCCTGAAACCATAAAGTTGTTTAATTTATTGATTTGAAAGGGGTGGGGGTGGGGTTGACCGAAATATCATTTTTTTTATGAATGAAGATAATCCATCAGATCTTCTACTATTCATTCTTATAGTCTGAACATATTATAACTGAAAAGCTCACGACGAAGCTTGCCTTACTGCATGAAAGACGAGTACACCTTATATCTCACTGCAGAGTTCTTTTATTTGGGGGAAAGTATGCCAATGCTCCATATAGAAAAAGACATAGAAATGATATACTGGTATATTGAATTATGGCCTCCTGCTCAGATTATACCCATTACATTAGATACTATATTTAAAGGAAAAGTAAGCTCATGTCACAGTTTCATATTGCTTTGACTCCATTGTGTGGAGTCCTGAAGGACAACTTGCTGATCTGTTGCTTTTGTCTGTGCAGGAGGATAGTGAATGACACATACAGAACTGATCTTTGTCTGCTGTACCCTCCTTTCATGATAGCTCTAGGTATGTAACACGTTGTGTGTACCGTATCACTATTTGAATGGAATGGTTCAAGATAGAGTTGCATCCATGGCCATTTTCATAGAAATTCAACTATTTTTTTTTTTTCAGTTTATAATTGAACTTTCATTGTCCAGACATACAGGTAAACTGGAAAACTATTCTTCAACTGTACATCCTAAAATGAATGTTAATAATTACATTTGTAGAATGGTATAATTGAAAATCCAGTTTGGAGAGGGAGACAGTAGCACACAGAACATGTTCTGACAATGTGTTTTTCATTTAATAATGTAAAAGCACTTGTACCACAAGTTTTGCATCTTAATTTTACCTTTCAACCATATGCTCTCTTTACAGCTTGTCTACATGTGGCTTGTGTTGTGCAGCAAAAGGATGCTAGACAGTGGTTTGCGGAACTCTCTGTTGATATGGAGAAGGTAGTTATATTTTATTTAATAATTACAGACTTACAGAAAGTAACTTGTCTGGATTGGTACATTATTAGGCAAGTGAACAAAATGGGTAAGATAAAAAGTTTCTTATTGGCCCAGTATCCCTTGGTGAAAAATTGAAAAACATATAATTTAAACAGATAAAATTGTTTAATGTAATATTTATATATCAATACCAACAAGATACTGCATAGTAATTACAAAACATTTTATTGATTGCATATTCTGTGTTGAGCTTGATGTATGATTGAATGGGTGCAATTAAATAGTTGGTCAATAATACAAAAACCACTATCCATACTTTATTCCAAGATCTGATATTTACTGGTGGTCTCCCATCTGAGTATTAATCAGTCCAGACACTGCTCTGAGCCCATTGCTGCCATTTGTTGAGACTAAATGGCAGTAAAAAAGGTAAAGGATTTCCCTGTCCAGTAGTGTTCATTCCGTTTCTTGGCCAAGGGAGCCAGCGTTATCCAAAGACCCACTTTGTGGTCATGTGGCCAACATGGCTATGCACCAAGTCTTTGGAACATTGTTACCTTCCCACCGAAGTGGTACCTATTTATCTACTTATATTTGTATGATTTCAAATTGATAGGTGAGCAGGAGCTGAGGCAAGGAACGGGAGCTCACCCCATTGCATGGCACTAGGGTCTCAAACCCAGGCTGTCAGCTTTCCAGCTGATAAGCTCAGCATTTTTAACTGCTGAGCCATTACATCCATCCTCTAAATAACAGGTTTAAGAATGGGTGAGTGAGAGGTTTCTAAGTGTCCATCACAAGTTTACATTAGCCCGCAAGAAAATGCTATGTTAATTCAAAATAATTTTAAAAACTTTCTAAAATGAATTTTAAGATTTAAAAACCAGGGCATTAAGGTATAAAGTGTTTTGAGGATAGTTTGCCCTTTTTTCCCTTCAAAGGATAAAAATAGTGGCCTGCAAAATGTTTTCAGGATAAACTCCCTGATCCCAGAATATTTTCAAACCTTTCTTTCTTATATTGAAGCACATACATACTTATTGCAATCACCATAGATTTGCACAAAACTATTTTTCATCTAATTTTTTTTTAGATCTTAGAAATAATCAGGGTCATTTTAAAATTGTATGAGCAATGGAAAAACTTTGATGAAAGAAAAGAAATGGCTACAATTCTAAGCAAGATGCCTAAGCCCAAACCACCTCCAAATAGGTAAGTTTTCAAAATATGTTCATTTTAGTTTAGTTTACTTTACCTTACTTTATTGTCATTGCACTTTGTACAATGAAATCAAACACCATTTTCAGTGCACATTATGACCATGTAAATAAACACAAACACATATCCTTCACCCTCCACACATTGAATCGAAAAGAGTGGAGAGGGCAACCAATGATCTTCTGGGCAATGACGTTAACCCTCTGGAGTGCTTTCCTATCTGCCACTGTGCAATTGGCAAACCATACAGAGGTGCAGTAAGTTAAAATGCTCTCTGGTGCAGCGGTGGGAGATCACCAGCAGTTTTTCATTCAGTTGTTGTTTTCCGAGAAGTCTCAGGTAGTATAATCTCTGCTGGGCCTTTTTGACCAATGCTGCAATGTGAGCACCCCAGGTCAGGTCCTCTTTTATGGTAACCCCCAGAAACTTAAAACCGGCCACTTGCTCCACTCGGTCTCCATTGATAAGCAAGGGCTGGATGTCTGATCTGTTCCTTCTATAGTCCACTATAAGCTCCTTGGTCTTATTGGTTATTGTCTCCACATCACAAAAACAACCGATCCACCTCATCTCGGTAGGCAGACTCATCCTCCCCAGAGATGAGTCCCACCACTTTTGAATAAATTTGAATATATATTATAATTAATAAATAAATAAATATTTGAATAAATGATCCACTGTAAAACAAGAATAATCCATTTGTAGAGAAAATAATTTTAGACTTGGATGTAGCCTTGCTGTTAAATACACAAAATGCATCTCAGCGTATAGTTGATCCATTGATTCATTCCATACCTACCCTTTTTGTTTAGTAATCTAATAGGGATTAGTTAATTCTGAAATGATTTTTCAATCATAAAGATCATTTAAGTTGTGATTAATTTAAGTGAAATGGAACACTTCAATTTTCTTACAAAAAAATTGAAATAGGAACAAGTTGGGTACCTGTCATGCCTTACTCACATAAAAGCAATCCTTCACTATTCAACTTCCATAGACGGTTGTTGGTAGATTTGAGAGTCACGTGCAATTTGACTTCTCCTCATTTTATGCTTGAGTTCTTTTGGTTGACTCAGGTAAAAAAGAAGGCAGCTGCATTTTTACAGGCTTTGTAGGTTCTTTGGTTGTTCCATTGAAATTTAATATAAATTATCTTCCAACATCATTTGGTTTTGCATTTTACTGCAGAGGGAAGTATAGATAATAAATGGGCTAAGTGTTGATTTATTGTACCTATTCTGCTTGACACACACCTCTCCCTTCCCAGAAAATACTCTGCAAACTCTGGAAGGCCAAAATATTTTTTTTCCTGTGCAAAAATAGAGTAGTTTGCCTTTGAGTTAGGACAGTACTTCTTCATAGTGAACATAAATAGCCAGCATTTTCTAGAGACCCACTACTACATATCTAAAATACAAACTACTCAACACAAGAAGCCTCGCAAACAAAATGCATGAATTCCTCATCTTATTAGGCACAACCACATTCGACATTATATTTGTCTGTGAGACATGGTTAAATGCATCTTTTCCAGACTCCATTACCACAGTCAGCGAATATCACATTTATCAGTCAGATTGCAAAATCTGTAAAGGAAGTGGAGTTGCTATCTTCTACAAAAAAAATCCCTAAATCTAAAAAAGATTCAAATTACACAGGAACTTGCTCTCCCAGAGGCCATCATCTGTGAACTGTCCTCAAATGCCACAATCCGCTTCTTACTATGCTACAGAGCCCTGGATAATGACATAGTTCATGCAAACAAGCTAACTTCACTGTTAACATGTGCTGCCTCTTGCCCTCACCCTCTCATTTTCCTTGGTGACTTCAATCTACCTCTTATAAATTGGACACTAAATGAATGTACATCAGAACCCATACATGCAACTCTGTATAATGCTCTTACTACATTGGGACTGGATCAATTAGTAACTAACAACACTAGATTCAACAACTGCCTCAACCTCATCTTCTGCAGTAGCTCTAACTCAATATATGGCCTACAAATACAAGAACCCTTTTCAAACAGTGATCACAGTATGATTGACTTTTGTCTCAATTTACACCCTCACAAAGATCATAATGATGGATCCCCAAAATACAACTTCAAAAAAAACCAACTATGATCTCATAGATACTGACCTATCATCTCTTGATTGGCACATTCTGTTCTCTAGCTGTAATACTACAGAAGACCATTATAATGCATTCTTGTTTGAACTTGAAAGAGTCATTAAACTATATATACCATTAGTAACCCCCCAAAACAAAACAAAACAAAAAAACAAATTACCCATAACAATAAGGAAACTTCAATTTAAAAAAAGATAGCTGTGGCATAAAAACAAAACTAGCTATGTAGCAAACTTGAAAAACCAATACAACAACCTATGCCAACAGATAAAGGCAGAACGCACAAATTACCACTGCAAGCAAGAGGAAAACCTCCTATGTACAAAATCCACCCACGCCTTCTACAATTTTGTCAACACCAAACTTAAAGAATCAAGAACCATCCCACCCCTAAAAGGACCAAATGGGAAAGACTGCAATGATGAAGCTGTAAAGGCCAATCTCTTCAACACATTCTTCAGTCTTTGTAAACAGCAATGGTTCATGCCCCACATTTCCTACCGTGTTTCTCACATAATAAGGCCGGGCCTTATTTTTTTTTGAGCCCCGAAAAAACGGCTAGGCCGTCTTTTCGGGGGGTGACTTAATTCCCCCCCTTGCATCCTCGCCAACAGCCGCTCCTAACGGGCGATCATGGCCAAGCACAGAGAGCTCCCTACTCCCACCTTTGCTGCAGACACCTTTGGCACCCGCCGCTGTTGCTTTCCTTTCTGCCCATTCCGCTGCCACGTTTGGAGCTGCCGCTTCCGTGTTTGGAGTGCCGCCGCCATTTGGAGCTCCAAACGCGGAAGTGGCAGCTCCAAACATGATGGCGGGCGATCTTTTTATTTTGGTCCGCGCGAAGTTCAGAGCGAACAAGAGAGGGAGACTGCGATGCCTCCATCCGAGATGGCAACCTCACTAATGGATCACAACGTGGCTTTGGGCATCTCCGTGTGATCGCGACCCTGCCCTTTCCACCTGGCGCCCTTGCTGCTTTCTGCCTCTTTAGCAACTGGCTTCGTGTTTGGAGCACTGCCGCTGTTTGGAGCTCCAAACAGTGGCGGAAGCTCCAAATGCGGAAGCTCCAAACATGACGGTGGGTGATCTTTTTATTTTGGTCCGCGCGAAGTTCAGAGCGAGCATGAGAGGGAGACCGCGATGCCTTGCTAAAGAGCCAGAAAGCAGCAAGGGCGCCAGGTGGAAAGGACAGGGTCGCAATCACACGGAGATGCCCAAAGCGTGGAGCGCACATAACTAAAGGCGGCGCACGCAGTTGGCTTGGGGACTACAAGGCAGCATCTGCGCCTCTTCCCGGGCGCGTCTCTAGGCTGCTTCCGGAGCTACGGGACGCTCTCCGTTGCCTACCAGCCCTTCTTCCTTGGGCTCCCTGCCGTGGGGTACACCCACTTTCTCCTGCAAATTACGCCTCGCAACTCTTCTCTCCCATTCCTCTCGCTCCAAAAAGATCGCCATCGTATCCCGCCGATTCGGGCTTCCAGCCACGTTGTGATCCACTAGTGAGGTTGCCATCTCGGATGGAGGCATCGCAGTCTCCCTCTCTTGTTCGCTCTGAACTTCGCGCGGACCAAAATAAAAAGATCGCCCGCCGTCATGTTTGGAGCTGCCACTTCCGCGTTTGGAGCTCCAAATGGCGACGGCACTCCAAACACAGAAGCACCAGCTCCAAACGTGGCGGCGGAATGGGCAGAAGGGAAAGCAACAGCGGTGGGTGCCAAAGGTGTCTGCAGCAAAGGTGGGAGTAGGGAGCTCTCTGTGCTTGGCCATGATCGCCCGTTAGGAGCGGCTGGTGGCGAGGAATTCCGGCCCGCCGGGCGCTCCTAACGGCAAGTCTCCCCGCCCTTCCCCCTTATTTTGTATATTTTAAAATAGGCCTAAATTTGGGGGGAGGGGCTTAATTTGATTTTATGCCCAAAAAACATGCTGGGCCTTCCTATTGGTGGAGGCCGTATTGTTGGAGAAACACGGTAGTCGTACCACAACAAACTGTAATGACCTACTATATATTGACTTTAGAGAAGATAACATAGAAAAGGCACTATGAAACCTCAAACCATCCCTATCTATTGGCTCCAATGAATTATATTCATACTTCTTAAAAAAGCTCTCCTCTGTCATAGCGAAACCCCTAAGCATTATATATGAGATATCATTCAGAACCAGTTCCTTACCAAACCTATGGTCCTTAGCTACGGTCATCCCTATCTTCAAAAAAGGTGACCCCAGCCTGAAAACTACAGACCAATCTCACTGTGTTGTGTCACATGCAAAGTCATGGAATCAATCATTAACCAATTCATACCCTCCACTTAGAGTCAAACAGCCTACTCTCCCCAAAACAATTTGGTTTCAGGAAAAAAATGTCCTGCAATTTACAACTCCTACACTGCAAAAACATATGTTCTACTCTACATGACCAGGGTAAAGCTATAGACGCAATTTATATAGATTTCTGCAAAGCCTTTGATTCAGTGGTACATGACAAATTACTGTTAAAACTAAACTCTTATGGCATTTCTGGATCCCTCCATAAGTGGATTACTGTATTCCTGTCAAACAGGCAACAAATAGTAAAAATAGGGAGCACTATGTCAAACCCTGCTCCAGTTAACAGCGGTGTCCCCCAAGGCAGTGTTCTAGGACCCACACTTTTTATACTCTATATAAATATCCTTTGTGATCACCTTATAGGCAACTGCGTCCTCTTTGCGGATGACGTAAAACTATTCAACACCACTGACAATGCTACTATCCTTCAAAGCGACCTTGATTATGTGTCTGAATGGTCAAACATCTGGCAATTCCAAATCTCGACCAACAAATGCTCTGTCCTACACATTGGTAAAAAAAAAAACAGTACACCAAATACAAACTAGGCGGATATGACCTCGTTGATGATCCTTACTCTGTCAAGGACCTTGGAGTTCTCATGTCAAATGACCTAAGCGCCAGAACTCACTTTAACAGCATTGCCAAAAAGGCATTAAGAGTTGTACATCTAATCTTATGAAGCTTCTCCTCTGGAAATATCGAATTGTTAACTAGAGCATACAAAACTTTTGCCAGACCAATACTTGAATACAGCTCATTAGTCTGGAATCCACACTGCATATCAGACATTAATACAATCGAGTGAGTCCTGAAGTATTTTATGAGAAGAGTACTACAGTCCTCTGCTCGCAACAGAATACCCTATATCACCAGGCTTGAGATTTTGGGCTTGGACAACCTTGAAGTATACTGCCTTTGGTTAGACTTAAACGTAGCACACAAAATTATCTGCTACAATGTCCTACCAGTCAGTGACTACTTCAGCTTCAACCACAACAATACAAGAGCACACAACAGATACAAATTCAATGTAAACCGCTTCAAACTGGATTGCAGAAAGTATGACATCAGCAACAGAGTGGTCAATGCCTGGAATACACTACCTGACTCTGTTGTTACATCCTCTAACCCCCACTTCTTTAACCTCAAACTAACTATTATTGTCCTCACCCCATTCCTAAGAAGTCTGTTAGGGGCGTGCATAAGTGCACCATCGTGCCTACCGTCCCTGTCCTATTGTCCCCATTTATTTATACCTATTTCCTGTATTCTTACTCATGTTTATACTTATATTTATTATCTTGTAAGCGATTGACAAATCAAATAAATGTTCGTGAGAGTCAGATTAAAATGAGGCTGCTTTAGCAGTCAAATTCATTTTAATGAGTCAACTCTATAAAGCAATAGCTTATTTATAAGTTTGAAACAATAGTCTGTATAGTGAATATACAGAAGCTATATAGCAGGGGTCTCCAAATTTGGCAACCTTAAGTCTTATGAACTTCATCTCCCAGAATTCCCCAGTCATGCTTTTTAAATCTTAAATTTGGAGACCCCTGCTGGATAGCATACTTTCAAATCATTTTTGAAGCATACACAGCCTTGCCAGACAGTCAAGTATTTGAAATTGCTGAATTAAAAGTAGCAGCCAGACCAAATGAGGATAGATATCACCCCAAAGATGATCCTAAAGGCCATTTCACTCTTCTTTGTCATATTGCAACAAAACGTTATGCAATCCTGAATATCAAAATAAAAATATGTACTATTGTGATTTAAATTATATTACCTATTTAAATCAAATTTTATTAAATACTAAAGCAAGTAACACCATATGGTAAGATATTTTGTGCACCACTGCAACTTGGGAAAATTAGGATGATGTTTCATTGGCAAGATTGAAATCTGCCTTCATGACCTGTTTTCTTCGTTACCATCTGGAAGGCAGCTTTGTGGTGTCCGAACCAGATAATTTAGATTTAGTCAGTTTTGTTCCATATAGTATCAACAGAGTGATTTCTCAAGTTTTGTCTTTCTACTATGTATTCAAAATGGAAAGGGATTAATATACACTGCTCAAAAAAATAAAGGGAACACAAAAATAAGACATCCTAGATCTGAATGAATGAAATATTCTTATTAAATACTTTGTTCATTACATAGTTGAATGTGCTGACAACAAAATCACACAAAAATTATCAATGGAAATCAAATTTAGCAACCCATGGAGGTCTGGATTTGGAGTTACACTCAAAATTAAAGTGGAAAAAAACACTACAGGCTGATCCAACTTTGATGTAATGTCCGTAAAACAAGTCAAAATGAGGCTCAGTAGTGTGTGTGGCCTCCACGTGCCTGTATGACCTCGCTACAATGCCTGGGCATGCTCCTGATGAGGTGGTGGATGGTCTCCTGAGGGATCTCCTCCCACACCTGGACTAAAGCACCCCCCAACTCCTGGACAGTCTGTGGTGCAACGTGGCATTGGTGGATGGAGCGAGACATGATGTCCCAGATATGCTCAATTGGATTCAGGTCTGGGGAACGGGCGGGCCAGTCCATAGCATCAATGCCTTCGTCTTGCAGGAACTGCTGACACACTCCAGCCACATGAGGTCTAGCATTGTCTTGCATTAGGAACCCAGGGCCAACCGCACCAGCATATGGTTTCACAAGGGGTCTGAGGATCTCATCTCGGTACCTAACGGCACTCAGGCTACCTCTGGCGAGCACATGGAGGGCTGTGTGGCCCCCTAAAGAAATGCCACCCCACACCATTACTGACCCACTGCCAAACCGGTCATGCTGGAGGATGTTGCAGGCAGCAGAACGTTCTCCACGGCGTCTCCAGACTCTGTCACATCTGTCACATGTACTCAGTGTAAACCTGCTTTCATCTGTGAAGAGCACAGGGTGCCAGTGACGAATTTGCCAATCTTGGTGTTCTCTGGCAAATGCCAAACGTCCTGCACGGTGTTGGGCTGTAAGCACAACCCCCACCTGTGGATGTCGGGCCCTCATACCACCCTCATGGAGTCTGTTTCTGACCGTTTGAGCAGCCACATGCACATTTGTGGCCCGCTGGAGGTCATTTTGCAGGGCTCTGGCAGTGCTCCTCCTGTCCCTCCTTGCACAAAGGCGGAGGTAGCGGTCCTGATGCTGGGTTGTTGCCCTCCTACGGCCTCCTCCACGTCTCCTGATGTACTGGCCTGTCTTCTGGTAGCACCTCCATGCTCTGGACATACGCTGACAGACACAGCAAACCTTCTTGCCACAGCTCGCATTGATGTGCCGTCCTGGATGAGCTGCACTACCTGAGCCACTTGTGTGGGTTGTAGACTCCGTCTCATGCTACTACTAGAGTGAAAGCACCGCCAGCATTCAAAAGTGACCAAACCATCAGCCAGAAAGCATAGGAACTGAGAAGTGGTCTGTGGTCACCACCTGCAGAACCACTCCTTTATTGGGGATGTCTTGCTAACTGCCTAAGCTTTCCACCTGTTGTCTATTCCATTTGCACAACAGCATGTGCAATTGATTGTCAATCAGTGTTGCTACCTAAGTGGACAGTTTGATTTCACAGAAGTGTGATTGACTTGGAGTTACATTGTGTTGTTGTAACACAATGTACACTTTACATTGTGTAAAGTGTTCCCTTTATTTTTTTGAGCAGTGTATATATAATAATAAAGTGTAGGGGTAGATATATACTTTGAGAGCAGGCAACAAAATTTCATTTTAATGTATGCCAATGTGCTCACAGTAAAAAAAACAACAATAAAGGTTATCTTAAAGTTAAAATCAAATGTGTTTATAGTAATTTTAATAATAAATATATAATGTAATACTTTCCTATAATATTTTTGTTTCAAACAGTGAAAGTGACCAGGGTCCAAATGGAAGTCAGAATTCTAGCTACAGCCAGTCTTAGACATTCCAAAGAAATGAATTGTGGACCACTTTGGATTAAGACACATTGGGATCTTTTCATACATGGAAGACATGGACAGAAGGTTTCAATAACGTCTTTTCAGATAGAACACAAAGTTTCTATCAAGTGTACAAAAGCTTTTCCTTAAACATACACCCATTTGAATTGTGATACAACAGAAATCAAAAACTGGATAAAAATAATGATGTAATTCAGTATGGACAGACTATAGTAAATTTTGTTATTTGAAAGAAATAGTGGTGAGTTAAACAAACTTAAAACAAACAAGGATAACTGTGAATGGATCTTTCTTGCAACTATAGTTTAACTATGGAATACAAGAGATGACTTGAGAAGTTGGATTTGAGATCCTAATTGTTCAGATATATACTTGCCAATGGATGTTTTAAGAATGCACTGCTGTAATAAATGCCTTAGGGAAAAGAGATAAAAAAAATTCCTTAAAATGTATAAAATGTTGCATTCCTCATCCGAAGTTTAAGGAGGTACTCTACAATACCTGTAGTTTGCAAGAGGAAATCCAGGATACCCCCAAAGTGCAATATATATAATGAAAACTCTGGCTGTTTTAGGAAAGAATGTGCTATTAAGTCCTTGACATATTTTGCAATCCAATCAAATAAATCTAACCTCTTTGAGGTTATAATGGTGAATATGTTGTGTGCTAGAAGTTTGCCTTCTGCTTTCCCAGTTACTAGGAATGGCTTTTCTCTTGAGAAAACAGAAGCATTTGAGAATATGATTCCATAATAAAATATAAATTACTGTACAAATTAACACAAGAATCATTCAAAGACAGGATGTTCCCTTTTTTTTAAACTCTGGCCATCTGCTGTGTTCTTTAGTCAGACTTCCCCACTTAAAAAGGGATTTAGTCCAGAGCCCTAAATTTTCATGGACTATTTGTTTGGGACCCTAAAACAAGTTAAAAGTATCCTGTATTTCAGTGTGAAGTAGCTCTCCCCAACACGATGCCTTCTAGTTCTATTAGATCAGGGGTCCCCAACCACCGGTCCGCGGACCGGTACCGGTCCGTGGAACAAATACTACCAGGCCGCTGGTTTGCTGGGCGCCACCATCTTGTTTTGATGAAAAAGTGCTTCCGGTGAGCTTTTCCGGGTAGAAAGCTCACCGGAAGCACTTTTTCATCAAAACAAGATGGCGGCGCCCAGCTGATGCTGGTACTGGGCCGCGGCACCCAGCTGATGCCGGTTCCGGGCCGCGGCATAAAAAAGGTTGGGGACCACTGTATTAGATTACCGTTGCCTTCAGGCCAACCAACATTGTTGTGTTAGTGGAGGATTAGGGAGATAGTATATAGTGAAGGTGCCAGTTGGGAAAGGCTGCTTTAAGATGCTTTTCACCCAAAGGGAGCATTATTCTGCCATGATTCAAACAAAGGAACATTGGTTGAAAGAGTATTGTCAAATGGTGCTTGTTCTAAAACTTGATCTAAAAGCAGCAGTGCCTGAGTCTACTTGATATGTCACTGAATTAAGGGTAACCAAAGTGTTTTTGTATGCAAACGCTTGGGCTCTCTGCACTTAAGTGTTGGAAGTTATTTTTTTACAGAGTGTTTGGATACTGACTTACAGAAACAATTGTGAGGATTTTATTTTATTTTTTAGCTTTTTCATGTTCCCCTTTTAGTTTTGCCAATTTTGTTGATGCTGGTCATGTTGTCCCACACATTTGCTAACAGAATTGATTGAGGCACCACATCTGTTGTGTTTTGGAAATTACTTTGTTAACTTGAGGATTTCAACTTTATTTGTAATATGGACTAGCTGCATATGAATAAAACAATGGAAATTAACAACATTGACTTATTTTATTTCAGAACCATAAGTAATAATTTTTACACGTACTGCATTCAGAACACACGGGCATATCATACATTATAAAAAAGTTTTCTCTGGAGTGCATTATCACAGTTCCAAGTAATGTGTTTGCCTTTTTTCTCTCTGGCTATAAGGAGAGAAACATACCCCCAAGGTTGGAGAGCTATTTTCTATATTCTATATCAGGGGTCGCCAACCTTTTGGACCACCAAACTCATAATTTTAAATCCTGTGGACCAGAGACCCTGGGAAAATCCCCAAAAAAGTGCAGGAAAATTCCCCACCCTGTTTTCCTACTGATTGATCATTCTTTATTTGGGATCGCAGGATACCGTCTCCAGCTCTGTTCTGAGAGAGAGAGAGAGAGACTTTTGGCTTCATGCAAGGAAAGCAGCAGAAGCAGAAGTCTTTCTCTCCCCCAAACTCCGCCAGAAATGAGTCTTTGTGAGACTTGCCGTGCCGGCGCAGGCTCTTGGAACAGGATGCCTTGCAGGGTCCCAAAGACTCATTTCTGACAGAGTTTGCAGGAGACAAAGAAAGACTTGCTGTTTTCCTTGCATGCAGCCATAAGCAGAAGAAGAAAGAAGCTGAAAGAAACAGGCCGGTGGCCAGGCCAGGTGCGTGGGGCGCATGGGGCAAGTTCCCCCCTCTGCCCTTTCCCCCTTCCCTCACTACCTTGCTCGCAATGCAAGCGACGCAAGCCTTGTGTTTCCATGGGCCATGTGGGCGGTGAAGCCTTGTGTTCCTGCACAGCCTGGATTAATTGCTTCAGGGGGTGCTTTAGGGGTGACATTACTCTGCAGACCACCAAAATTTTCTCGCTGATCACCAGTGGTCCCCGGCCCACTGGTTGGTGACCACTGTTCTATATTCAAATGAGTTAACAAAATTTTACCAGTTTCATTATCTTAAAGTGGGATTATAATGGTCCTCATACCATTCAGCATATAACACACTGTACTAGAAATTCAGTGTTTTTATGTTATGTAATATCTCAGCAATTTTACATAAGTTGTTTATGTAGAAATAGATTGTGTCCCTAATTTAAAAGTTGCATATAGAAACCTTATCACAGATACAATACATATATGTCTCTAATCAGTTTCTTCTGCATGTACAAAAATGTATTTCTTGATATTATTTCTGCAAATATTTAATATCTAGAGATAGTTGAAAGTCAAGAACAATAAGCAGGACTGAGGCTTAATTCCTGAATATGAAGTTGAAAAAAAAATCCCATCTGGCTAAACATTTTAGTGCCATTTTCCCAAGCTTTGGACTTAACATTTTTATATTTTTGTTTCATGACCAGAGATACACATAATTTCTCATGTGATGAGCAGCTACATAAATTTTGATTAATAAATAGCCAACTTAATTCCACTTCATTTTACTTAAATATTTATTACTAAATGTATTGCAATGATCAGTTGTAAGTTTCTTAAATCTATTTGAATTACTTTTTAAATTTTAAACAAAAATTTCCATAATGTTAATCAGGATAAACATTTGAAGCGTATCTCAGTGTTTTTTCTTTGTTGGCAAAATAATCTTGTCTTAATATGCCTAGATGCCTTTTATAGATGCTCTTTAAACAAAATTAGATATCACCCTCTGCATTTTCAGATTACCTACAGTTTGTGTATTCTAGATATCATTTCTTCTTTGAAGATTCATACTCCAGCCATTCGCTGAAGCCACCAGGAAAATGCTGAACTCTGAAAGCACATAAGACATAAGAAAGCACATAAGAAATGTTCGATAACATTTCTTATTGCACAAACCACTTTCAAGAATATGATCTTCTTAAGAGTATGCTGACCAGAGATGTAGGAGAAATATTCTGGCATAGTAATTTTATTTTATACCAAGTAAGGGAACAAAAAAACCCATGCTTAATATCTTCCTCAAAGAGTAAACAATGTTTAGTAGAGATAAAGTAGTAAGTTTGAATCACACTAGTTAAATACTTTTGGAAATCAGCCACATAATAATTTTGAATAATGGCAAATATAAGGATGTAAAATAAAATGCTTCTTTAATTCTTAAATGAGACATTCTTAGTACTTGGCCACTCTACTTCATTTTGGCCAAGTATGTTAGGATTTTTAAACAGGCTCTGGCTTAGAATACTTTAATCCAAACATTGAATTTCACAAGGTTACAAACATCATTTACTCACAGTACTTCCAAGTTTGTTCTTTTTTTTTAATCAGCTAAGGAAAAGGCTGAATACTGGCACCATTTTTGAATTGTGGGGTAAGAATCATTTAGAAGCAGTGTATTTTGCTTTAAAAATGGACTGATACTCTTTAAAATACATTAAACCCAACTGGGAAAAGGGGATGCCTATATTAGAAAATAAAACAGTGATGCAAATGTGGGTCTTGCCATAAGGTTCTAAACACTTTGTCCTGAATGAACTAAATGATGGCACTGTTTTTCCTTCTACAATCATATTTGGTGGGGAGAATAAGAAAATTTATGTAGAATCAAATGATTTGAATGCAGGTTAGTGTTTGTTGGAGCAAATTTGAACTCTTAGTACATTTAGTACATCCATGGTACATTAGGCTTAGATTTTCAGATGTGTTATTTGAAAACTGCCAAATGCTATTTATTGGATCAATCTATCCATTGTATTTTAACAGCAACATTAAAAAGAATAAACACTTTCCCCTGATTTGTATTTTTCCTTTTAAATCCATAATATTTTTAAATCAAACTAGAAACAATTAATTTGCAATAAAACTACACTAACATATATACCTTTCCTGAATGCTTTACACTTACCTGCTGAAACCCAATGATTTTGCAACAGCTACAGCCTGTTTGCTTCTCACGCCAGCGAGACAGGAAAACACTACATGATCTGATTTAGAAGGCATATCTTGATTGTATTTCTCTTTAAAATATACTGAGTCCATCTGTAAAGCTTCCATAACTTCTCCCACTGTAAAAATAAACAATCATCATTTATTTCATTGGTCTTTTTTATGGTGACCCACTGGCTGGAGTGCCATTTTCATGCTAAGCATAAATTGAGTCACTAGGTAGGAATCCCATGTGCCACAATGGCATACATGCGTGTGTGTGTGTGTACACACACACACACACAAAGACATCACAGTGCAAATCTTGCCCTTTTCTATTTGTATCCCAATGCTCGACAAATACACAAGTGACAGGACCTGGGTAGTGATGTATGTTTTGTTGCTTATACCTCTTTGACTTTTCTGGATGGTAGGAGTTGGCCTGCTGCACAAATCCAAGTACCGAAAGTACCACACATAAGATTATTCCATGTTTTCCCCTTGTATACAATGAGCTGGACTTTTGTTTTGTTTTTTCCCTTGCTCTGAAACACTCAACAGCAACTTACATGGAATACTGATTGAACCAGGAATTTTTCCATGCTCTGCAATTTCCCATTTTTCTCTAACATCAATAAGCCGGACTGCCTTTGATTCCAACAAATCTTTGAGTTGTTGGTAGGAGACACTATGATCTTCAGCTGTGCAAAAGTGGGAAACGATTTGTCTCCTGTTTTCTGGATCTGTAAAAAAAGTAAAGAAAAAGGTTAACAGTAGTACTACAGATTCTGACATGATCATCAAAGCACTGATTTGCTTCTAAGTGCTGCTGGGCAACAACACCAGCTAAAGAATCAATGCATTGACTAAGCATTTAAATGGACAAGCAGAGCCCAGACTCGCTGTCTGTATATTTACCCCACAGCAGTTTTCCAGATCACAGGAATTTCATATATTATTCCTTTATTCTGCTCAAAGCAACAACACAAAAGCTGTGTTGGCTTTTAACCCATGAAGCTAAAGTATCAAACCACATGATGGTTGGATATGATAGTCCGGTTCCTATGCTATTTTAATCAATCTGGTTTGATTTTGGCTTAATCTTTGTGTATTGTAAAGCATGGTTTTTGTTTTAGCAAACTATGAGAAGGTAGTGGAGTGATAAACCAGAAGAAATCATTCCAATTCTCTTGGAAAAGACTTTTTTTAATAAAACAAATACCAACTTTTATGACCGCTTTCTCTTATACAATTTGAGCTAAATACATTAACCTGTGTCTTATGCAATAATCCATGGCTTAGCATAATGTAAATATTAGGTTATAGTTGTACTTGTTTCTGTGCATCACTACAGTTTTGAGGTAATACTCAAAAATATCTTCTACCATTAAGACCGCTGGTCAGAAAAAGATAGGAGTAAGACATTTTACAAATGAGGAAGTCAGGCTAAAAAAGCAGCAGAGAAACTACCAAACCCACTAACGTAAAATTGGGATTTGAACCGATTTCCAGTGGACACGTCAGTGGAAGGTACACGGGACGTCAGTCTAAATCCTGGTTCTGTCCACTTCCCACTGATGAAGTTGCTATACTAAAGCAATCAGATTCTTTAAAAGCTCAGTATTTTTTTCAGGAACCGAGTACAACCGAGTTAAAGCACTTAGCACTGAATTTAGCAATCCAGGAAACAAGGAAACGCCCTCCTACGCTCCGATTCTCTTAACCCCGCTGGAGCACTTACAGCCTGAAGGGCAAAAGCGACCGATGCCAACCAACGATTCAAATCTATGCAGGACGCTCTCCCGGTGGCTCCATGTCAGCTGGCTTATCTTTCGTCCACCGCAGCCGCTTAGCCTACTTGCAGCCAGCTGCGTAATTAAACCAAAAGTAAATTGACATCTCCAACATCCTTGCATGCTTCCTACTCTGCGGAGCTCTCTCGCCTAACTTAGAAGGCCACCGCCCAGTTTGGCTGGGCTTCCCGAATATAGTAGGCCAGGCAGTTCGCCTGTCTCCTTGGCTGCGCTTTCCCAGGAAGGTGCATCTCAGCTGGAACAAGAAATGCTAATTGAAAAACCAGGTGTATTTTTAATTATTCCTCTGACTGGAGCCCGATTGCTCATCCCAAAAGCCAGTGTGATTGTTGCAGGACGAATAACAGTAATCCTGTTTCAGAGAGTTTCATAAAAAAAATAAACTAAACCGAATGTGATTTGCGGGATAGTTTGTTAAACATGATATATACTGTAGTTTAGTTGGTATGACAGCTACCAAATCTGGGTTGCAACAGTTCCTTTGATCAGGAAATGGCAACAAGGACATGGAATACTCTAGATCTCTGCCAAAATCTGATAAGCTACTATAACCTTAATATGACTTGGAAAACAACCCAATACAGGAACTAAAGGCTGACTTCACAGAGGCCATAATGTGACTTGATTTGTGTGATTCAGACACCCTGCAATACAACACCCCACCCCACCCCAGGAATTAGTAAAGATCCTTTGTTTTTTGCTAAGTATATTTAAGAAAGCATTTCATGTGATTTGACATATTGTCTATGGAGAATAAATACTAGCTGACCTAAATAAAGCTCCAAAAATATCAATAATATTATCTTTAATATTAGTATTACACTATTATCTATAATTTTATTTTGTAAACTGAACTGTGATCACAAACTTTTATGGAAAGGTTTGGGTACTAGAGAATGACTATTCCTGCTGTACCTGGGGAAAATATCACCCACATGCATACAATCTGTATTTATAAAACTATTCAACAAGCCTTAACTAGTCAAAGGTTTCAAATTTCATTAAGCTTTATAAATATATTAGTAGGTTAAAATTCTGGTAGTACCTCTTGACTGGTTTAAGGAATATTTCAATATTTGGGCGCCCATATATATACTATGCTCTGCAGGTTCTTTACCAAATAATCTTGACCAGCATTTTTTAAACATCACTATTGCACCCACCTTCCCTTTCTCCCAGTGTGGATGGATGGATGGATATTCATGATACTATGAAAGATTTTTAATAGCTACCTGGGTAGCAGATGTTGACTTTAGATTTCTATATGCAAGACGTATTACTGTATAAAACTTGTCATGTGATAGCTATTTAGTAACAGTAAAGCATTTCATAAATTCCTGAACACAAATGAAACAACGCATCATATTTAAAGCAAATATAATTAAGAATTTTATGCTGGAATTTGCCACTGTTCTTGCTCCAAAAGAATGTTTTCACTGGGAACCAGATATAGTACCAAAATATGACAATGATGTCATTCACCCATTTTGCAAGTGAACATATAATTACCCTGGGACATTTTGTCTGACTTTCTTATTAAGAAATTGTTTTTGTGGCCAAGTCATCACAGTTAGATTTTGAGTGGAATAACGTAAGTAGCTACTAGAATGCATCGTGTCTACTGAAATCAGATAACAGATAATCAGAGTTGGAAGGGACCTTGTAGGTCATGTAGTCCAGCCCCCCCCACCCAAGTGGGAGACTCTACACCATTTCTGACAAGTCGCAGTCCAATCTCTTCCTGAAGGTCTCAAGTGATGGCGCTCTGACAATTTCCAAGGGCAAGCTGTTCCATTGGTTGATTGTTCTCACTGTCAGAAAGTTTCTCCTTATTTCCAAGTTAAATCTCTCCTTGTTCAGTTTCCATCCATTATTTTTTGTCTGGCCTACAGGTGCTTTAGAAAATAGCTCAACCCCTTCCTAGCTGTGGCAACCTTCAAATATTGGAAGACTGCTATCATGTCTCCCCTGGTCCTTCTCTTCATTAGACTAGCCATGCCCAGTTCCTGTAACCGTTCTTCATTTTTAAGTCTCCAGTCCCCTGATCATCCTGGTTGTTCTTCTCTGCACTTTTTCTAGCTCCTCAACGTCTTTTTTATAATGTAGGGACCAAAACTAGATGCAGTACTTTAGGTGTGGTCTAAGGCTTTATAGAGTGGTATTAGTACCTCACTTCATCTCCATTGTATCCCTCTGTTAATGCAAGTTAGGATTGCATTAGCAAATCAAAGGGATTGTTTCAAAGATTGTTAGCCTGATCCATCAAATGACTTCTTGCATCTGCCAGATTCTAATGTGTCCATATTTCTTTCATATGTGCATGATTTTTCCATGGACATTAAAATTATATGTCTTAGGCAATTATTTCTTTGCCATCAAGAAAATCCATTTGGTGCTATGATTGCATGAGATTTTCCAGGCTTTTTATTTATTCATTCATTTGATGTTTAAGCAACTGCAATATTGTGACTTAATGTGATTTACATAAATATTGTTACATTGAAACATTTGCAACCATAGATTTTAGCAAAATTGTTTACAGAAACAAAACATCTACAATATAAATAGGTGAAGCTGTCCAATCTTTAATTTAAATAAAAACAATATCCCAGTAACAGTTAACTCATCAATCTATACAATATACAGCATACATACAGTACCTACAGATTTATATTTGATTGATGTCAAGCATTTTCTCTTTTTAATACAGAGTGACCTATTTCAGAAGTGCTTTTTCCATCCCAAGAAGTGCATTTAAAATAAACACAATAGTGATTTTATTTTGTTTTATCTTTGCTTTAAATAAAGCAAAGCTCAACCCATATTTCTAAATGGAAAGTATGATAAATCTAAGCTGGCATACAAACTGGTTCTCTAGTTGCTGGCTGTCAGCTTGGCCATATGGTATTCCTTTTCTATAGCAGTTTCAAAATGGAAATATATTCATTTAAGATATGATTATCAATGGCACCTCGTCATGATGGTGGTTCTTCCAGGGTCAGAGGCAGGACCTGAATGCCAATCACGAATGATAAACTTTGGACTTTTTATGAGCATCTGACTGGCCACTATATCAAATGACACCATAAATTAGACAGGCATGCAATTTAACCCAGGATAGCTCTTAAGTTCTTATAAACAGCCATTCTCTATTCAATGCATTCCTACACGCTATAGTTTTGTTAACACTTGAAGAGGGATCCTGGCAGATATCAAAGGCTTCTTTCCTTCTTTACAAGCTGGATGGAGAGGAAAACGGGGAGATAAAAAGAGAAGAAAAGTTGGTCTCCCCTATTTTCACCTGTCACTCTCTCTGCCCTATGAGGGGGGAGGAGGGGGAGAAGCTTGCCCTCTCTGAGCCAGATAGGCAGCATGACCAGCAGATCAGTTTCCTACATTTCTCTTGGGAACTGCCAAGGAAGGGATGGGGAGGAGGCAGGGCTGTGGAAAGCTATGAAACAAAACCAAACTTCTGCATTAAAAAAAGCAGTCTGGGGGTGTGTGTTTTTTCCCCATCTGCAAAACATGGAGGTGGCTGCGATGCCAAAAAGAGATTAAAGGCGCCTTTTCTCTTCTCCTTTGGAAGCCCACTTGGGCATGAAAGTTGAGGCGACGCATTGCGCCCGGAGGTCGGATTTCTGCTCGATCCAGCGGAGGGCCTCGATCGGAACCCCCATTCCTTGGGAATTGAACGGCAAATACCCCCCCTAACCCTTACGCGCCTGGTAGCTTGTTTAAAGCACAGTCCAGCCAAGCGGCGAGCTCCAGCCGGACCGCAGCCCTGGGAGTGCGAAACGGGGACGGGACGGGACAGAACAAAACGGGACATCACCCTGCCGGGCAGCAAGGGAAGGTATCCTGCTGGCAGGAGGTCCGCTTCCTGCTCCTCCTCTTTCGGTTGTCGCTTTAGCCGGCTGTCTCTCTGGACGAAGCAGAAGCTTAGCGCGGTGAGTTAGGAAAGGAGAGTAAGAGGTTGGGGGCCGGCCGAGCCGGGGAATCCCCTGGAATCTCGCCCGCTGGTGGGGCCCGCCGCTGCGGGCAGGGGACTCGGAAGGCAGATTTCCTCGCTCGACTTTCCCGGAAGGGGGAAGTCTGGCTTCTGGCGGGCCTTCCTAGCCGCCTTTTCTGACCCCAAGTAGTAGCAGTAGTAGTAGCCCGTCGCTCGGGTCTTCCACTCCGCCGTCTTCAAAGCTGGGGGCGGAGATGGGCTGCCGAATGACGGAGTCGGCCCTGACGGAGACGAGGCTTCCTTCTTTCCTTGGTTTATTGTTGGGAGGTCGGGGGCCTCCCCCGTGACGCTACCTAGAGCTCTCTATCCTCGGCTCTATCGAGGCGCTGCCTGCCTTGGAAAAGCCGCGGATCTGGGAGCTTGCTCAGCCTTTGAGGCTGGCCGTAGCCCCTCCCCCCTTCAGTCGAGGTTTTGTTAAGTGCTTGTGAGATTTGTGTTGAAGGCCTAGGTTGTAAGGATTTGGGAGAGGGAGGAAGGAAGACTACCTGGGCGAAACGGTGTTGCCTGGTTTTATATGGGTGTGTATGGATGTGTCTAACTGGTGTCGTGGGATTGACATTGACATTTCAAGCAATTTTATGTGCAGTTTGTATTGTGTGGCCTCTAAGAATGTGGAAACCAGGAGGTGCCTCCCCACACTGTTTACTTAGGCAACATAAGGCCTTGGCGATTTAATGTTCCCCCCTGACAACTGCATGTTGGCTCTGTATCTTATTCCAGCCACTACATTCCTAAGGGTTTCCTTAAGAAATTTGAGACAGAGCCAAAGTGCGCAAACATTTATTCTGTTTGTCCCTTTCTTTAGGGAATATATGAATTATATGAACAATCTACTTGGGAGAGATTTGTATCATAGTCTTTGATTATATGAACAATCTACTGGGAGTGATCTGTAACAGTCTTTTGGGAAGGGAAAGCATGCTGTGCCATTGGCTGTTTATCTGCTAAACTAAGCAGTGTCTTCAAAATATTCTCTCACACTTACTCTCCTGCCAGACGCCCCCAATATATTTTTATCCACCCACCGATGGCTGCTGCAAGTCAGAGGAGAAACAGTCTTCCAGAGAAACACCAATCAGAGTATCTTTGGTTTAGAGAGCTATTACAGATTTAGTAAGCTGACTTGCCTGATGATGTAGCCTGCTATTGCTATGTGGTAGGTAAAATTGTCCCAAAGGTGCTTTTTCAAGAGGCAGCTGGACTTTCTGGTTTTTCTTTGAAGATGTTTTGCTTCTCATCTAAGAAGCTTCTTCAGCTTTGGCTGGATGGTGGGGAATGAAATAATTTATACTCCTTATATAAGGCAAGTCTTCCTAGGAGTATAATAAATTCTTCCTTTTCCCACCAACCAGCCAGAGCTGAAGAAGCTTCTTGGATGAGAAGGTAAACGTCTTCAAAGAAAAACCAGAAAGTCCAACTGCCTCTTGAAAAAGCACCTTTGGGACAACCATGACCTGGATGACTGAGAATCTCCATAGACATGTAGGTAAAGTTAGGTGGTGAAAATTATTATACTCTTCAGGTAGTTCTCAACTTACAACCATTTGTTTAGTGGCCGTTTGAAGTTATAGCGGCATTGAACAAAGGGACTTACAACTGTTCCTCACATGTCTGTCTCAACATCCCCACCATCATATGATCAAAATTCGGAGGCTTGCCAACAGTCGTATTTATGATGGTTTCAGCGCTCTGGCTGGGGTCATGTGATCACCATTTGCAAGCTTCCCAGCCGGCTTCTGACAAACAAAGTCAATGGAGGAAGCCAGATTGGCTTAATGATCACATGATTCACTTAACAACTGCACTGATTCACTTAACCATGGTAAAACAATGGTAAAATTGGGTGTGATTCACTTAATAACTGCCTTGCTTAGTAACAGAAATTCTGGTCTCAGTTGTGGTCATTAAGTCGGGGACTACCTGTATTTATTGGATAAGCTGCTAACTAATAAACAGTGAAAGAAGATGTATATATAAAAAAGAACTCAAAACCTATCAGGACAAGTAGCTCCAGAACGTGCTTGTTAGTATTTTCCATTTTTTTTGAGTCATTGGTTTTAAGAGTATCTGTTTATCCAGCATTTCAGCTGTAATTCTTGCAGTTAACTATTAAATGAGAGGTTTGTTCCTGTGATTCATGGATGGCTTTGTGTTCCAATAAAAAGTGTAGTGTATATAGCTAGTTAGTTTGGGGAACATTTCTGTGTGATAAAACTGTTCTGTCTTTTCATATAAAATATGTTTTACTACCCGCCCCCCGCCCCCCAAAAAATTCAAGCACATCACCATAAAATCAGCTTCCATTTGGAAGAAAAAAGTAGCTAGGTTAAATACTGTACATGGGACTAAGAAACAAAGAAACACTCAGCTCATAGGCAAAATGTATGCTTCATTCTCCCACATTTCTTATGCTACAGAATGATTTTAAAAAAAATCTTCCAAAGTTAAAAAATAAGATGGGGAGGAACAAGAAAGCCTGATAAACTGCAAAAAGAACTCTCTATTTTTGGTGGGAACATATTGGATATTCTAGAGATAAACTGACATGCTAAAATGTGGCACCCACTTCCCTTGAAGTAAAATAACACTTCATTACAAGTTAATTATGTGCACTGTGACAGATCTGCAGTGATTGAATAAAATACTTCAAAATCTGGGGGCCAGATATTAAAATATTTTAAAGATCTCTCTGGTAACAAAATAGAGGCAAGATTGCAACACAATGGCTTGGGTTTTATAGACTTGAGACATTTCTTTATAATGTGATTGACTTGTAAACATTTTGTCATATTTCTTTAGGAACTAATTCAAAGCTGGTATTCTGTAGTTATGTTTCCCCTTAAGTTCTGTAGCAACATACCCTCTGCCTCTTGGGGTTAGCTGGTAATGTCCAAAGTAGAGCAATATATCATCATTGAGCATTGAGAGTGATGTGTATCACAAAGAACAAAGTAGGACAGCTTGTTGTCTAGAGAAAAATCCCCCAAACTCTGATAACAATATTATACTCTTGGCAATCACAAACTCCCTGGGAAGCAGAATGTTCATTATGTTGACATTCTACTTTCTTGTCAAGCATTGTACATTCCCTGTCAAACTGTAGCAACAGATATCTGAACTGATTATTTCTAGTCACTGTGGCTCTTCTGACATTGATAGCCAGCATGCAAGGTTTTGCCCTTATTAATTCTGTACTTGAATATAGTTGTGATTATATTAAGTGGTAGTGAATCTGTTAATGTTTATTCTAATTCTGAAGTGGTTTCACTATAATTGTCAACTTCGAATCGAACCTGGCAGAAGCCATTTTTCTATTCCTCAGTTGCCACACAGAGAGGGGAAGGAGAATGAAATGCGTTGCTAGACAAAACACAGAACTTTCTCTGGGAGCCAAGGTCATCTCTACAGGTGGTGGATAAAGATGGGGAGGAGTGTTGAGCCCGCCAATTAATCTAATTGGCCAATGTGACTTGTGACTTTTTTTGGGGAGAGAGTTATTTTAGTTGTACTGAAGACGCGGGAAACATTTAGGGTCGATTTTCCATTTGATCGTGCCAATATGTACCCAATAAAGAAGTTCTTAGAGGAAGATCTTAGCCTCAGAATTCTGATTTGCTTGGGTTCATTAGTTGGGATGATGACAATAATGACGGCATCTACTTAACACGATCCAATTGAGATTTAGCAAATGTAGAATCCATACATATAGGAATAGGTATACATGTAATTGGAATATGCACACATGCCAAAGTGCCAAAATCTATGCAAAACATTGCACTTACATGTACACCTACACCCTTATACATATGGATTCACAAAACCCATCTCAAAGAGTGACATGCATGGGATTTTTTTTGTGGATGTTCCAGAAGTTCAGTGTTCTTTTATAAACCATGTATGTGCATATGCACCTATCAATCATAAATAAAATCTGAAGACAGACTTAGGAAGGGGGGGAAGGGCATAATGAAATGGGAAGAAAGTATGTTGATATGCTTGAGAACTACATCCTCACAGGATGGATGGATAGATAGATTTATTCATTTATTTTGTAAATTGATTTTAAGACGGGTGAATCAGATCCATATTTGTGTCTCAAAATAAAAAACATCTGGGTGAATATGTTTGCAAGCTCTTTCCCATTCCACCCTGTATGATCCAACAACCAGTTTGCCAGCTGGCATATTTTTTCATTGACATTGGAGATGAGTGGTAGATGTGGTTTTACTTGAGAAATATGAAAGATAATTAACCTTTTCCAGTCGCATGCAAGGGATACTCCTGGAGTTCATGAAGGGTGTCCTATTAGACTTTCTGGAGAACAATTTATTACTTTTTTTTTTTACTCTGCTGGCATATGATACATGATAGGAGGGGAGACAAAACCGAGGAATCCATAAAGCTTTTTCCTGAAACTGTTCTACATCAAATCTGTTAAGGATAGTACCAGAGCTGATCAATTTAGGCTGACATAGTTTTCTGCCAGCTGACAGATGGGAGACATGCATGTTAACATAGTTATGAGGACTGTGTTGTATTGTTCCCTGACAAACCTGGCCAGATGTGTTAGTTTAGTTCTGTGCAGATAAACTTGCTTATTGCCCCCAACAATCTGGCTCCTCATTTTACTGATCTCGAAATTATGGAAGGTTGAGTCAACTTGAGCCAGTGAGGATCGAACTGCTGGAAGTCAACAGAATTAGCCTGCAATCAAACCACTGCACCACCATGGATCATCAATCATCAATCATCATCATCATCATCATCATCATCATCATCATCATCATCATCATTTCTGTATTATAAACAGCCATGAAATCCTTGGAAATAGAATTCATTTATAGATGAGTGAATGCATACACTATTTTGGTACCTGAAGTGAATTCAACACTCAAGGGTGGACAGATCTAAATGCTATTCATTTGCTGTACATCCAGCTCTTAAGAGTTGCTAATGTGAAGTATGAAAAGGATGCTTGAATCAGTCCCTGCTGCAACATCCCCATTGAATCCCAATTCTTCATGGTTAATGATAGAGAATAGTATTTGGTTAAATGCGCGGTGGTGAAGTTATTTTCATTTTTGATATGTTAAGACGAAAAAGAACTTACATTGTTAAGATTTTTGTTTATTGAAAGGGATTGAAAATTTTGCCTTCATTTTTCAATGGTTTATCATGAATTCAGCAGTGAAGTTTTGGAGGTTGTAGAAGAGGGTTTAGGGATTGATTCCTGTTTGTCCTGAATCTCATTTCTCTGACTTTAGCGTCTTCTGGGTATCCAAATGGATTAGGAATGTGTGGGGCCTTGTTGATCTCTCTATGAATTCTTCACTGATGCTGTTTCTACTGTCTTTTTTTTAACGTACATAAACTTGAAAAAGTTAGTTGCATTAGCATCTGAGTGAAGAGTGAAATCTCTGTAAAACTTTACAAGATTGTTTCATTGGTGGAAGAGGCTACCTTTTAAAAACTTCCTCCAAGATGCCATTTATAAGTGGAGCATGCCTCTAGTTTAGACTACCAAGGTTATGGGTTATGAAGAATTTTGCATGACAGTTACAAATGAAAGGAATGCTTCTGTCATTACTGGTCTGTAGTTCTGATTATTTTATTGCTCCAGGAAGCATTTAGTGCTTGCATGCTTGAAAGGATTTCAGAGCTGTCATAGCGATGAAATTTCTGATCTGCTGATTGATGACATTGTCTACTTGCTAGTTATGATAGCAACAGTCCTCTCTGTAATTGGATCAGCATTGATCTAGCTCTGGACATATCTAATGCCATAAATATGGAACATTTCTGCATGCAGCTCCATAAACACAGTACTTTATAAATATTTCATTCCTAGATAAGGGAGTAAGCAGCTTTGCTTTCCAGGTTTTTTTATCACCTGCACTACAATTACTGTAACCTTGTGCTACAATTACTGTAAATTGCATTTGTCACTAAGGATGACAGTTTTATTATAATTATTTTTAATATAATAATTAGAGTCACCATAGCAATGAAGATGGATAGGGATCCTAGGATAATCTTTTTACTCCATTACGATGCATACTGAATAATTTTTATATTGGCTTTGTTACCATCTTTTTGTGTACTAAAGATTTATATAGGAAGCACATTGGCTACCACATTGAGTTTAAGTCACTATTAAGTAAGATTTCTATATATCAGTTAGTAGGGAGGAAAGTATTAAAGTCGCTTTCAAGACAAGTTTTTTTCCAGTGATTTTGTAGACACAACCTGTGCAATTTTTTTGGCAATACTACAGAGGCAGTTTTTGGCTGCTGCCTTCTTAGAGATTATTTCTTTGACTTTGCAAACAAGCTGACAGCTCCAATATTTCTTAGTGATTTCTCATCCAAGTTCTAATCAGATCCAATCCTGCTTAGCACCCTGAAATCAGCTGAAGTTAGATGTTTTGCTATTACTGGCCCTGATATTAGCAATTGCATCTTCTTTTTCTCTCATATACCTACCTTCAATTCCTCTTCCTCCTCCCCCTCCTGCTGCTGCTTAGCTACAGGGTCCACTTATCTGCACTGTGCTTGCCTGGTCCACATCATCCACGAAGCCTTCAATGCATGCTCCTGATATTAGGACTGAGAAGTGACTGCTCCAAGATCACCTAACCGTTCCCAGTACAACACTTTAATCATTACACTATGATGCTCATTCGCTCTTTCTCTTTTCTTCTCATATACCACTTATAAGAAATAAATATTTTTGGTAAATTGGAATCTGTAAAATAGTTAAAACTGGAGAAGTGTGGGCTGGTAGGCACATAGTTGTTACAATGATAGGAACCTCTTTCTTTTCCTTCAGAAGGAAAAGGCATTTTATAAACTTCATACTTGCTTTCCTATGGAAATTTCAGGAAGGAACTTCCTTTTTATAATTATATAATGTTATTATATAATGTTCATTTTGTGTGTATGCAGTTTTCTGGTTGATTTTTTAAATTTATATAATTCTTGAAATAAAATTTGTTTAGGAACCCAGTATTTTTTTTCTGACTTCTCTTTGAAACTAGATATTCTTAGTGCTTATTGATGTTGTTCTTTGTATAGGAGACTCTCCTTTTCTATAGAATTTCCTTCTATGGAAATTCAAATTTCTTTTCTCAGTCTTATGCAAAAGTTAACATTTATAATTATTTTTAAGACCTGTCTATTTGGGGGGTAGTTGTAAGATAAAATAAAGGGCAAAAACAATATATCATCTTGAACTCTTTGTAAGAAATATGAAATAAAATCAGTTGAGTTGAATTTCAGAAGTTTTCATTCTGTTGTACATTCTGCCTACATGTATTTTCCTTTCAATGCAGGATATTAAAAGAGCCAGTTTGAGGTAATAGTTAAGGCATTGGGCTATATACTGGGAGACCATGATTTCTAGTCCTGCCTTAGGCACAAAGCCAGTTGGATGATCTTGGGTCAGTAACTCTCTCTCAGCCCTAGGCAATGGCAAATCACTTTCAAAAAATCTTGCCAAGAAAACTGCAGGTACTTATTCAGACAGTCACCAGGAATTAACACTGCCTTCAAGGCACACACACAAAATAATAGATATTAAATAAGAGTCACTGAATTATGTTTCCAAATGTACTTGAGCCTAGGTTAGAACAATTCTATTTTGATTTCATTCCAACTATTTCTGGTTGGAATCAGTAAAATTATATTTTACTGTCTGTTCTTGGTCTAGCTTATAAGAAATATTTGAAATTGCTATGGCAAGTCAAAGAGAAGATTTTGCTAAATAATCTGGGTTGGTATTTGTGCTGAAATTGTGCTCTTTATGTTGTTTTGCATGTTCATAGTTTATGTTGCTTTGTACGCTTATGGTAACCAAAGCATTTACTTTTACCAATGCATATCTCACTTATTTTTGCTTTGTTCTTCTCCCTCTCTTTTTTCTAGCAAATAACTGATGAGGGTAAAAGATCCATCAAAGGTTACCCATGATAAAAATAAGAGACAAAAGAAGGCAAATCAGCATCAGGATGAAGATTCCTCAGATGATATTACAGGTGAAAAAACCGTATTTGGGGAAAGCTAGAAAGAGAAAGAAGTGACTAAATAAAAATGAGGACACTAAGAAATTAAAAACAACAACAACCAGAAGCAGAATTTCACCTTGAGAGAAAGGCTGCAGAAAATTTATTAGCCTATTGAATTACACTTCATGAGGCTTTATGTGGGACAGATGTTGAATTCTGTGAGGAATCTTAAATCTTAAGATCTTAAATCTTAAACCATAACAATGTGGTTTTTTACATTGTAATTATAAAAATATATTCTTATTAAATATTTCCTCCAGCAATAATACATCTTAATCATTTGAATCTTTTTTAAAAATCTTCAATGTAGGATTAACATGCCAGCATGTGAGCCAGGCAGTTGATGTCCATCATGTGAAGAGAGCAGTGGCTCAAAATGTTTGGTCAATATGCTCAGAGTGCTTAAAGGAAAGGAGAATATATAATGGTGAACCAGTAATGCCTTCTGATATATGGCTCTGTCTCCGATGTGGCATTCAGGTAATTAAGATTATAAAATAATAGCTTATACATCATTCCTATGGAACAAATACAGCATTTGTGGATTGTGAGCTTTGCAAAAGCATGTTAAGAAAAGACAGAACAGAGATTTTAAAACACTAATGCCTAGTGTGAAAAAAATAATAAGGTGTTCATTCTTTCACATTAGGGTCACCTATGGAATGGATGCCTAATGACAAGGAGTTTCTGAATCAGTAAAAAAAACACATTTTTAAAAAATACACAATGCATTGTTAAACAATGGAATTCATACCACCAGATATGGCACTTGCTCCCTGTTGAAGCGAGAGAACAGAGGTCTTTGTGGGAATTTTAACAGGCTTTAAAGGCACATTTTTGATCAGGATTTTATTGTTGATAATTTCATGAAGTATTTATTATTTTAAGTTTTAAATATCAATTCTGATTTTATGTTGTCTTTATTTTATGATAAAATAAATATATCGTGATTCACTTATTGTCTTAAAGGGAACTAGACAGAAATTTGACAGATAATTCTGATAGTCATGCATTTCCTCCAGAAACAAAGGTAAAATACTTAAATATCATTAGTAAGAGTACAGAAACAGGGATATTATTCTTCAGTTCACACTTTTGAGCTTCACAAAATTATCTAGTTGTCTTTGGCATGAATGCTGGATTAGATAGGCATTTGGCCTGCAGTCCTTATCCTATATGAATTACTTTGTGAGAAAGATGTGCGGTCTCTTAAATTTGATAAATAAACACGTTTGTTATCTAGGTCATAGAACATCTCATTGCTTTTGGAGAGTTCTGCTAAAGTATCAAAAGGCAAGAACCTGTGGAATTTTGTCTATTATGGGAGCTGAATGTAACACTTTAGTTTTTATTTAGGAATATGCAGCAGCTTCTTATTTCATAGTCCTTTTGGATACTGTTTTGAGAAAATGCTAGTCAAGCTTTGTATCATAACCAGGAGGAAAAGCAGTTGCTATTATATTTCTTGAGTGGATCAGAAGAGTCGTTATCCTAAACAATTACTTCTCTATGTTGCTGGTCATTTGTTATGGAAATGGTTGAGTATGAAGGAGACAATATAATGCTTTCCACAATTCCCACATTCAGACAAGCTATGCTTGTTGAAGTATGCTGATTTCCATTAAAAAACAACTGATGAGTCGGTAGCTTGACGTAGAGTAAAACATACTTGCTGCTTTCATTGTAGAATATAATTATATCGTAATATTTTATCAATGGTCTTTAGGGCTGTGGTCAAAATTCAGAAGGCCAGCATTCTCTAAAGCATTTCCAGACTGCACGGGCGGATTCTCATTGTATTGTAATCAATCTTAGCACATGGATCATATGGTAAGTTAATTCACATTTTGAGAGAGAAAGTTTTGTACGTGTAAGAGTAAAGATATGCAGTTGTACGTTTAGGTGTATATAAGTGAATGCATATGTGAAATGAAATAACTTTATTTCAGCCTTATGCAAGTTATTATTGCAAGAATTCTAGTTATGAATGATTAAAGATGCAATTAGCATCATTTGGGTAATTTTATATGAGTGTTGTGGTTAGCCGGCAGCAGGTTCAGGCGGCTGGGGAGAGTGAGGACCAAGATTAGGGGCCAGGACCATTAGGGAGTGGACTGCTGCCTTCAGAGATTGTGTGGGCTGGCAGCAGTGAGGAGGAGGTTCCCGAGGAGCCTGTGCCAAGTGCGCATGCACACAGGGCTGCTCGTAGGAAAGAGCAGCTGCAACAGCACGGGCAACTCGGGAGTAAGGCTGCAAGGTAATGGCCCCTCCTACAAGAAGATAAAAGCCAGCTGTGAATCAGATGTTCTTTGTAGGAAGCAAAAACGTTTTGAAACTCAAGCCTCGTGGACATTGCAGTATCTTAAGTTGGTATTTGAAGACTCTTGTGTTGTAAAATATTTCTTATCTGTTATTTTTGGCAGCCTCGCACAGTTTTGGCGAGGCTTGTGCTTATCGAAGTTAATTCGTTTGCAGAAGCCTTTTAACCAGGGATTAGTAAGAATCATTAAAAGGTTTCTGTTTCCTTTGGTTTGTGTTTGTTTTATTGGAAAAGGGCTTGGGTCAGAACAATGAGATATATGAGAAGTTGTTCCTGTTCCCACTGCTTTTTTGACCTTGGTCATTCTGTTTCTCTGTTTAGATAAAGAAATATCTTTTCAAACAAAGACATAAGAGGTCATGAGTTGTCTAATAGCTCGTTAAAATGTATTTAGTTATTTCAATAGTAGTAAGTAATTTTTGAAATCTGTTATATTGCCTTTAATAGTAACAGCCAGTCCATTTTTGATTATTATGTTATTACATACTTTTTTGATATACTCCCCCCATCCATGTTCTTATCCATTGCCAGATTTGTACCATGAGATCATTGCAGGATGCAAAAGCCAGTTACATGTTATAGCTATAGAGAGTGAAGTAGGAAAGAAATGAATACCTTCCATTGTCTCTCTGGTCACTTACGGTTTATTCTGAACTAGTCAACATACTCTTATCAGTGAATGGCATAAGCAATGTGTTTAAGATGAGACTGCTGCTTTTTTTAGTCTTTAAAGAAAAAAAGCAAAATGGGAACTAAGGTTTTTTTTTTTTTAATAAAAAATTTATTTGGGTTTTCACAAAACAATAAAAGTAAAATTTCTGTTTTTGAGAATAGCATGGTCCCGGGTTATCACTTCTCCATACAGACACAAATTCAATTTCATATTCATCTTCGTGTTCTATTCCATATCTTATTACTATTTTAACATTTTCTCAATAATTTTTCCCTTCCCTTAGTTTTCTCCATCTTACTTTTAATTATCTCATTCCTTTCTAAATTCAATTATATATATCTTTTTCCAAATTTCAATACCTTTCTAGTCATCATATTTATACTTTTGTCTGTCCTGTTTCAATTTCATATTTTCTTTTCTCATTAAACAAAATTTTCCCTGTAGTTACTAATTGGAGTATGACACCTTTGTATCTTTTAATTTTTATCCATTCAACTCTTATTTAAACTTCAATTTATGCCTTTACAATTATAACATTCAATATAACACATAAATTCCAGTCGAATTCTGCTTGGTACATTCTTAAAATATGCACTAAGTTCTTAAAGAGAATATATATATATAACAATAATAAATAATATACGTATTCTATTCCAATTCAGCTCTATCATTAATGTTAGTTATAATCTTTAACATCTTTAACATTCCTTTTCAATAGGATATCATACTTCCAGGAACACTTATAATATTTCCATAATTTTTTCATGTTTCTTTCATATTCCTCTTCACTTAAATTTTTATAACACATTTATAATAATTAAAATGTTCCCCTCCTTTCCTAATTTCATTCTCTCATTCTCTTTATTTCATTTATTTATTAAACATTCCATTACATTACAATGAGTATTTTATCTATCATTTTAATCACACTTGTTTCATATTTTCAAAGTTCATTTCTATTTCTAATATAATAATGCTATCTTATGCACCCTTACAAAATCCCCCTTTCAATTAAGTTTTCACCCATTATCTCTGTGTCTTGTACATTTTCCCTGTTTCTCTATGTCCTGATTCTGTCCTTTATAATTTCTTTTCCTTTCCCTCTTCTCCCTCTTCTTCTCCCTTCTCTTTTTGACCCCTTCTCTCTCTAATTCTGATTCTCTCTTCTGTAATCCTCTCTTCTGTTTTTTCCTATTGTTATAATTACTTTTCAAACTATTATTTTTTGGGGTTGTTTTTTCGCATCTTAAATTTTTCACTCTCTTTTCCCCCTTTCTTTTCTTTTCCCCACATAGAAATACTTGGTCATTGAAGATGGCTTCTTCTTTGTCCCGCCCTTCTTGTTCTACAGGCATTTCTTGTTGTTTCTCATAGTTCAGGATCTCCATTTCTAGAAATTAAAATACGAAGCCAAAAGAACCTCTTCCTTCTTGTGCATCTTCTTTCTGTTTTTTAAGTTCCATTCTCAATTCTTCCAAGAGTGATACCATTGTAAAAACTTTTAAACAACCACCCGATTAATTTTAGTCCTTTAGATCCAATAGTCAAAAATCCAAAAATCACCAAGTAATCCAAATAATCCAAAGCTGTTTCTTCTTGCTTCTTTTTTTCCCACTTTCTCTTCCTGGGGTTCTCTTATCTTGTTACAAAGTTTCAGTTAAAATGTATCTTTTAGGAATCTTGTTAAAGTTTCACTGTTAATTCCTTTCACTTCCAGGTGGTCTCCTCCCTTTTTCCAGATCCCACCCTTTTGTTTTTTTCCTTCTTTAAAAAGTTTTTGAGAATCCAGAAATCTTTATTCTCCCTTTGACATTTTATTTTCAGATTAAATACCTGTTAATGTCAAAGTGGATTTTGCCGATTTTTTGCTTAAATCTCTTAGTTGTCAATATAGGGAAGAAAATAAAAAAAAACCCAAATCCTTTCCCTTCCCTCTCTCATTCGCAGCTTCAAAGTCTTCTTTGGAACAATGTTGTTCCTTATAATTCAAATTCCAGGGTAGCTTGTATTGTTGTTTTTCCAGTTCAACCTGGTCAGCCAAAAACTTTCTCTTCCTATCTTCCTCCTGCACATTCTTTTCCAGTCGAGTTCTTCTTTGAGGTGGCCATTTCTGACTACTGCTGCAACTGCCTTCGGGAAAGGGAGTAATGGCCAGCTGGGGAGGAGTGATGCGGCTCTCCTCGACCCTGCTAGTGGTCTTCCGCCCTCTTCACCATCTCTACTGGGTGGCTTAGCCCCGAAACCAGCTGGCTCGGGGTGCTCCAGTGGCGAGCACAGATCGAAGCTGCGCACAATCTCAGATTTCGGTCTGTCGCTGAAGAAGCTCAAACTAGAGTCCTGGGAACTAAGGTTTTTGTTTAGTTGTAAGTTTCAGACTCTTCTAGGACAACATCTGAATTATATTAGTGAAGTTGTGACCTAGCCAGCGCTCATCATGAGCACTCTAGATTTTAGAATGTCTGCGTATGGCTAGTGTCATTAGAATGTCCTTGTGAGTTATTATTACTGCATTTAAATGCTTTATTTCAGGTGTTATGAATGTAATGAGGAACTCTCAACACATTGCAACAAAAAGGCTTTGACACAGATCGTTGACTTCCTCCAAAGGCATGTTACTAGAAATGAATCAAGTAAGTTAACTTGAGACGTTTTATGTTAGTGTGATTCTATGTATCTTGTTAGATACATCAGAAGAATGAAGGGGGGGGGGAACCCTGCATGATGTTACAGCATGATAAACAAAGTTTAAATAAATGACTGAGTTATCTTTTGGCTAGTAAGCAAAAGTTTCCTTTCAAAAAATGTTTGACCACTCGCCACTTGCTAATGATGCAGTGGTTAACCTCTAAAGCAAAGTTTCTAGTCCTCAGTGTTTGCCAGATATATGAATGTTTGAGGGACTATAGTGCTTTATAATGATATAATTTAGCAGTAGAAAACAATATTATAAGGGTACATGTTGGATTGGATCAGATTTAATTCTACTTTTAGTCCTATTTATGCTGTAAATAAGAATATGTATTCCCACTTTGTTTTATTTGTTTATTGAACTTGATATTCTGTCAGATTAGCAAAAAATTCTCACTGGTTTCAAATGTACTAAAACAATTTTAAGATGAGACATTAAATACATTAAAATAGGATTAAAATAACTAAAACAAGTGGAATTAATACTTAAAATTAATACTTGAAATCAGTAATTAAATGTGCAAAAATATGATAAAAAGGACTTGCCTAATAAAAATTTTATTCCAAAGAGCTAGAGAGGAAACAGAAAAGGTTTGATCCTGAGTTGCTGCCAAAAAATTTTGGGACAACTATAGGCAAGCTCCTTGGATGTATTCAATAAGCATGGAAGTTCATATAGAAGAAGGCATTTTTTCAAATAGTCTGAAATTACGTAGAGTAATGCTTTAAATATAATGAACACCACTTAATATTTCAGTTTACACTGAAATTAATTTGCAGTTTGTATCCAAGACGGGTTTAGTATTTATGTATTGAATTTGGGTGAGATTTATACTTCCCCTCTTCTTACTTTTTAGGTGGAAAACTTGACAATTAACTGGACAGGGCATTTGGAATTCCAAACGATTAGAACAGGTCAAAGACAGTAGAAGTCAGGTCATCTGTCCACTAAGCCAGAGTGACAACTTCTTAAAGTTCAGTTTTAACTCGCTTCCTCAGCCAACTGGAGGACTGTACTAGAAGAGTGGTGACACCACAACAAATGAATGAATGAATGAACGAATGGCTATGGTAGTCGAAATCAGAGGAGTATTTTTGCTGAACTTCTCTTTTTAAAAAAGAGGAAGAAGGAGTTCAGAAAAGGATATCTTGATGGAAAATGGAAGAGGCAGAGGGAAAAAAGTTGATTTTTTCCAGATTTATCTTATACTTGGAATATCTGCTAGTACTGCAATAGCCCATTGCTTAGAAATCCAAGTTATAATTTACTGAACATATATTAACCCATGGCAGAAAATGAATTTAAAAGTGTTTTCTAGAATTCAACCCTTGTGCCAATTAAAAAGTGATAATGTATTTTGCAGAGGTTTACATATATTAATACTGATACTGCTAGGTAGTGTTATGCAGGAATGAGAATTATGATGAGCTACAAGCCATCTGGAAAATATCTATCTTAATATCTTATTTTTGTATGTATGTATGTGTCTTATTTTTGTATGTTTCATGTACTCTATACTTGAGGAATCAAGGATTGTAGTTCTGTTAAAATAGTGTAGGATTGGATAAGTGACAATATGAATATAATAGAAAATCCATTTGGCAATTGGTTGGAAATTTTTCCATAAAATATTGAATTCAGTAAAAAATACTTAAGGCCAGATGAATGGATGCTGGTTTCATATTTGGGTTGACTAGATGGAACCTGGTTTGTGGGGTGTTTAAAATGTTTAAACCCAGATACTAATAAGAAATTCTGGTAGACTAGAAAACTTAAAGCACAATCTTATGCTTGTCTCATCAGAAAGAAATTCCAACCACTTTAGTAGATCTTATTTTTTAATAAATATCCATAAGATTTTAGCTTTTCCATGGAATGTTCTACATGTCTACTTGAAGTAAATCTCATTGAATCTAATAGAATAGACTTTAATAGGCTTCATGTTTGTTGATCAGTTATATGTATACTACACAATAATACCAAAATAAATTTGTGCATGACTCGTCTCTTTGTAATAGGAATACCTATTTTCTTAAGCCTCTTTAAATACATAATGGCAAAAAGACAGGATATAAATAAATTTCATAACATACATAACTTACTATTTACTCTATGTATTGTCTTAGAAATATTTACTCTCATGAGTGAGTTTAGAAATTAATAGTTTTAAAAGTGCTCAGCTGATCTTATTTAAAATAATATTAAAAAGCAATTGTCTCTCTATTTGCCTAAATTTTTTGTTAAATATACATTTAAACAGAACCTTTCTTTTTTCTGTTGAAATTATTGGTTACATTGATTTTTTTAAAAGAAGCTTCTTTACTGCATATAATAAAGAAGTTAAATATAGCATTATTCGAGCATAATCCAAAGAGAGAACAGAAAGAGCACTGAGCCTGACCAGCAATTCAAACACTACTCTTATGGCGATTTTTAATTGCATATGATTTGTTCTTTTATTTATATCCAGTGGAATATGCAAACTGCCAATAGCTGTTTTCCTTTAGATGAAAAAGATATTTTAGTGCATCATGTACAGGCGGTTCCTTAAAATAAGTAAAGAAACAAGCAATGCTTTTTTTATAACAACATGCATTTGCTAGAAATGGGTTATGATTATGATTCTTTCTCAAGTACCATAGGTCTGTCAATAATGAGACAAACTAAATAAACAGATAGTAGCTTGCTTATTCAGCTTCAGACTAACCAATCTGAAGAAAAGGCAACCCGGATTATGGAAAAAGCAGCACAGATTTTCTAAGGAATATATTTTGAGAAATAAACCAGAAGCAAAATATTTGCAGTTGTCAAGAGCAAGCATGGCACCCTGATCTCTGCTCCCCCCCACCACTCAACTTGCTTGCAAAAATGGGCAAATGACATTATTGTTCCATGACTGACCAGTGAAATTAAATTAAGTAATTGAGATAAGTCCAAGTGTGGAGTTCTTCCCACAAAAATTCTGGCAGTACATGGACTTCCCATTGGATCTTATGATTTACCCTGCTCCGAAAATCTGCGTTGTCTCTTTTTTCTCTTCTCCTTTTGTTTTCTTTTCTTTTTTCTGAAAATCATCTGTTTGAAAGAATAGAACAAGTGTTTTGTAAAGAGTAACCATCCAGCAGAGGCTAGGGTTTGTTTGTTTTTTGCAAAACAGGGGCTGGCCCATTATACAGCATTTGCCAGGAAAGCAGGTGCAATATTGTCATGATGGCACACTTGTGAGTTTCACATGAACCCAGTGCACATGTAGTACACAGGAACCATGCTGTGCTGTTACAGTTTTGACTGTCTGTCGCCTGGGAAAGAAGATTAAAAATGCAGGTTTGTTTGATCCCTGGAAACAAGCAGTCCTCCCCCCTCCAGTTATGCCCCCAGTGCATCTTTCAGTTAATGGGAAGAGGGGAAAAAAGTTAATTACCATTCAAAAATAATTTCTAGTTGTTCTGAGATTTACAGAATCCTTTTATTCTAATTTCCAGTACCAATGGATTGCTACAAAGGTTGCATTTTATTTTATTTTATTATTTTATTTTATTTCTAATTCAATAATTGCCTTTTTGCCAGGCTCTGTGTTTGGTTTCTTTAAAAAAAAAAACAAGCCAAAAGATGTTGCACTATTTCTCTGATATTCTTAACAACTAAGGTCTTTGTGTGAATACCAATTAATCTGAATTCAAAGAAATGCTGGTTTTAACAATATTTTGAAATTTTGGAATATTTTGCAATGTATTTTATCAGGCCCTGAAGAACTATATAATTGCTTTGCCTAACTTTTATATATTTTAAATTAAAATATTTTACAAAATAAACAAAATAAGCAAACCATTTACATCCCAGCAGTTATTGTCATTTGTTAGGAATTACGAAACAAATTTGGCAGGGATGTATTGTTTTGTGGTAATTAAATGTTCAAAGGAAGACAATGTCAGTTAATTTTTTCTTACGATGAGAATAAAATTAAAAATTAACAATTCCAGTAAAGGTTCTTAGACTTGAAGTACCAGAATAGGCCCTTGGAAGATTTTATAGATAGTAGGTTTAGAATGGATTAAAATATACCAGGTTAAAAAGTACTGTTAACTTTTAGGATTAATTGCTCATGATATTTTATCTAAATTTCTGCTAGCTAAATACACACTTTCTTTCACACTGTCTGCTCACCTCACAGATCTATCATCTACCCCACAGTGTTGAGGAATTATCTAAAGCAGTTTTTCTGGGTACATTAATGACTATAAGAAGTGAAGCTCAGGAAAAGCTGGTTGTATAAGCTGGTTTTATAACCCATAATAAACCTATGTGCCTCATGAAGTTGCATGTAGTGCCCAGGAAATTGGGGGGTAAACCCAATTTATTATTTTTCTTTATAAGAGGCAATACGTGATGAACTCTGCAGGGATTATGTGCTTTAAAAACAGAGCACCAGGTTAACATTTGTGTGGTTTTGTTAAACTAGCCTTAGCTATTATCACTGAAATCTTTTCCAGCAGAGGTGCTATGCAGCAGGTTCTGACCAGTTCTGGAGAACCGGTAGCGGAAATTTTGAGTAGTTTGGAGAACCAGCAAATATAACCTCTGACTGGAGATTTTACAATATCCTTCCCCTGCCACGCTATCAAGCCACGCCCACAGAACCAGTAGTAAAAAAAAATTGAATCTCACCACTGTTTTCCAGATATCCAAGCCATTGAGAGCCATTTTAAGCATGCCCATTTTGAGTTTCCCAGGCAGCCGGTGGTTCATTTTTGCACAATTATTACATCCAGTTCACCACTGGATTCGATCTTACAGCTGTTTGTTTTTCTTCCTCTTCCTTTTTATTGTTTTATGATGATTTCAAGTTAATACTGTTCATTATTACCATTGTTAATTGGTTTTGCACATATATTATTACTTTTAAAGATCCAACAGTGCTTTTTTAAAAGGCAACTGGACTTT